CTGACCATCACAATAAGCCCTAAACAATGAACTCAAAAAAGACCCCTCAAGAAGTCGCGATTGAGCAGACATACATAAATCCGTTTCTGTAGTCTAGTGCAACGTGGAGACCGGATAATGCCACATGTCAACAGAAAAACGCACCTGGATATGAGGCACAGTAAGCCATGAATATTAGTTGTGTAGCCTGTCCAATCCGGATAGTGTCTGGTCCAGTGGTTCTCAAACGTTTCAGCTCATGGGGAAGATGAACAGGCGTAAATCGGACAATAAGCAAGCATTCCTCAATCGTTCAAGACCATTCAAGTCCGGCTTCACAACAGACTGACTGTCAGTAAATACGGAGAAGTAAGAGAATCTGAGGACGCCCGGAACTGCACTGAAAGTTAATTTTAAAAACTACTCACGGGGCTGCTGGAATTCCCTTAGCTCAATATTTCGCCCTGCTTCAACAGACAAAAGTCAACTAATTTTTGCCAAAACGCTTGTTTGTTCGATCTCGATGATATATGCGCATCCACGGTGCTTCTGTGCAAAGTTCTCGCAAGCGTACCAGATTGCGCGGTCCAAATATAGATGAGGCGGTGAGCATGTGCTTCTGATACGCTCCATTTAAACTCCAACAAAACCAAGTTCACCGCTTTGGTGTGGGCTAACCAGAATGATCTTAAAACAGGATGAAGACTGTTCGAAGGAGGAACGTTAAAATTCTACAACGTCGCAAAGCCCTACGACTCAGAATGAGAAAACCTGTAGTGCATGGCTGTGACATTTATATCACGAGTGATATTCCCCTGTAATGATGGTCCCCAAAACTTCCTTAAAACATTTCTAAGCCTGTTTGGATCTTGCTGTGCACTGGATGTCCTGTCATGCTCCAGACCAGATGGACACCCGTATTTGATACAAATCGGACTGATGGAAAGTAGACAAACTGTGTTGTTTCCACTCGCTTGGTTTTGCTTAATAGTAAAGGGAAAGGTGTTTCAATACAGATCCAGAAGGCAGGAATCTCATTGCATGACAGGTTGAGGCAGATTGTTATTCTTCTTTCGAGAATCATCGAATCTCTTGCAGTATTCTTCTATTCAGAATTCTAACCGCTTGCAGCCATCCCGATGTCCCCGTAACCCAACACGGTTGAGTCAGTCACGTTAGTCCAAATCACTTGCAGATCATTTCTTCAAAGGTGCCACCTCAAGAAATCAATAGAGTCAGTCACCAATGTCTGCATTGTCACCATATTAGCGCGACGCACCCAATTGTACGTGATCTGTTTATGTGGGGCTAACACTTGGCCCAAATCTGATCGGTGAGAAACAAAGTAGAGCACGCTGTCTCTGTGTGTTGCACAACACCATCATGTCAAGGGTCATCAGACTGACTGAGTACATTTTCAGTAGGTGATTGACAGAGTCTGAAATACTCTATCTTGCCGGCGAAATCAACCTACGTTGAGAGGCCGAGGAGCTTATTCGTCCTCTAAATGAGATTTTGTCCTGTAAATGAATCGAATTTATGTTGAGAAGCCGAGGGGCAGTTGCTTCATCCTTGTCGGGAGTCATCTACAGTACGCATCTCACCAAACTCCCGAACACGCGACCAGCCAATGATGTGAATATAACCGTTCGACCAGAAGAGCGGCTGATTAGTAGCGTGATTCCCTCGCACCTAGACGATATATAATGCCATTCATCCTTCAATCACGGAATCCACGTCACGTGGTCAGGAGGAGTTCAGTGGCTACTCAACTGATGACTTCCCAGATGGCATTCTCACTCATCATTTGAAATTATTCTTCCTCTAAGCTACTTAGTAACTGTTGGTAGCGTAAGAGGTTCAGGAATTTTCACTGTTGCTTCTGTTAGGAATCAAACCTGCAACCTTCGGGCTGTTGGTTGATTATCATACCATTCAGACGCAAACAGGTGACCAGCAATATGGCTAAATCATCTTGATATGTTCAAAGCCACTATTCTTCAACCCTAGTTTAGTTCATACCAGGTCACGTGTTCTGAAATTCTTTAGTGACAGGATATATATAACCCGTGCATGCGCAAGGATGTCGGTTCGTGGGTCCACAGAACTTTTGGGAAGTTCCTTTTGATTTAAGCGACAACCAGCAAAGTAACCCAAGACGCAGTCCTTTGCGCCCCCGAGGCACATCACTTCCACTATCGTTGTTCGGTTTAAAAAAATAATTGTACTTTATTCGACTAAACAACTGTTTTAATCTGCTAAATAAACGCACATTTACTAAAAAATTTCCCTCTGATTCAAGCGCAGTATCAGCCTTCTGAGATTAACCAGAAACTATCCTTCCGACGTCTATTTTGAGAATTGGTCTTTTTTCCTTGTTTCAATGAAGAAAACCGTGTGCATTCTACCACCAGGGGGTCCACTTTGTTTTGTGGGCCACCACCCCTTACAAAAGATGGATAGCCGTAACATTTGACGGTCGCAGTTTCAGCGTCCAAAGAATTTGCGAATTCCGTGTTTACTCGTGTGGTTTTTCGTGATTTCTTGTTTATACTTCGATTAGTGGAATCCTGCCCAGTTTACTGATTGCACGGGTGATGAATCAGAGAAGCACAAGTCGTTCACCTGATTGTTTTTGCTTGATAACCCTCATCTTCGTCCGGCCACTTTTTTAATTTATTAGGTCCAGTTTAGTTACTAATACTCTATCTCCTGCCCAAGTATCGAAAGTCGCACTATACCAGCTTGTATGATGACAAAAAACACGCTTGTGAAACCCATTTATATGCTTGTAAAACATGAGGAAAAGTTAGAAAGATCTTTCGACCAATAACCAAGAAGCACATCAACTGGTGTAATTCTAACTTGGCTTCCAGTTATCTCGCCTAAATGGCTCCCATACTCAATTTGAATCCAGCCTAGTGCTGCTAGCCTACGGTTTCCATGAGTTTTCATTTCTAACGGGCACAATTTCGACTTTCTCTGGGGAATTCAGTACCAAATTCGGTGGTATTTTATCCAGCAAGGATAAAAAGCTAGAGATATTTCGAATACATATGTTTTGGTAGCGTTACTGCAAACGAACACTGTACAACTACTCGCAAATATCGTGTTTGATAAACCTCTAACAAACGTAATCTCACACTGTTGACTTTGCCTATGCCCAAGCATGTGTGTACGACTGCCACGAACGCTGTCATGCCCCATTCCGAGATGACGCCGAGAAGAATAGGTTTTAGCAAGGGGAATTGTTGTTTCATCTAGACAAGCATGGATGCAACCAGAAACAGAAGACGGGATATTACTAATAGATAGGAGAAACAGTGTGGGTGGGGAACAGAACCTTAGAGAACACTCGCGCTGACCTTGTGGATCCAAAGGAGAGCCGTCTCAAGACATACCTGACTCCAGTGTTTAGCTTGGGGATTTCCAGTCCAGTTCACCCAGATGAGTTTCATTTTAGTTCATCCGAAAAACTGCGAATTCCTTAATTCTGGAACACCCTACGATATTACAAGGCCTATCAGCTATGGATGCGGTACAGTGATCACAACAGATTGACAGGCGTTTTCCTTGATTTCCACGTTAGGTTTGATAAAGTGGTCGGAGCATCCACTGGCATACAGAAAATGAGTGCGGTGTACCAGATAAGGGGTACAATTTTCTCGATAGGATGGGTCAGCATCACCCACTTTGAGAACGCGTTTAACGTGTAACAGATAGATATGTCCATCCTTGAAAGGCTTGTGTAATTTGGCCCAGTGACTCCAACGACAATCCAGTAGCTGTCGCGGGTTGGTGAGGCGAATGACGTGCCATTGAGGACTTCCGATCCCAACGGTGTCAGCAGCGCTACTTGAAGCAGTGGCCAGCGAATAAACGGATGCAGGCCCCTACCACCCAGCGAAACCTGTTTTTTTTTCACTGTAACGGATACGGCTTGATCTCTGAGGCGGTTATCTCGGAACGATAACGATAATAATCTTAGATTGCGCCCCCGTAGTTCTACAATTCCCAGAAGGGCTAGTGCGGTGCTCACTAGCCGCACAATGCTCTTAGCTACAAAACCTTTGCAAGCGGAGTAAAACCTTTTAAACCAAAATTTTGAATTTTGTTGCGTATGTGCTCAAACCAAAATCCATCCTAATCTACTTTCATATTTTTGCAGCACACCAAATTTCATTGCTCATTGGAATAATCGTACCTCTGGCGGAGAAGTTCGGTGGAATAATTTCTCAGCATCACTGAGACCAATAGATGCCTAAATGGAGCTCAAAAGTTTAGACTGGTACTCTGAACTCAGTTGTCCGATTGCTTTAGTCCATCGGGGACAGGTCATAGGTTTCGAAAATTCGATTCCATTTTGCGAATACTGAGTGCCGGCTCATGCTCATCGCTATTCTCAATTCAGAATAATTTCCCAACACGTCTTCAGTCAACCCACCGAGGAAATAGCTTGAAAGGCAATGGTTTGTACCCTGTCGTACGTCACCCTCGGATTCCACGTACTTTTAAGTAGTATGCTGACTATTGCTATCAACTAAGCTAGTACCTTTCAGTATGGAGGAGGTCGACAGATGAAATAACTGCCGAATGTTGATTATCATTAAAATGCAATAACGCTGGTGAAGCAGTACTTCATACAGCCATGACTCACTAAGTGCACATACTACGGAAGTCACAGAGCCAGGTGGCTGATCATTGGCTGTGCTGAATTCGTTAACGGTTGGACGCATAGCACACAATCAGTCCACCTGTCGATCGGTGATTCCTCATCGATCAATGGGTGCAACCTATCCTAAATGGAAACACCTCACTTCAAACTACCTGTTGCCTTCCTATAATCTATGCATCTATTTGCTTTTTCCATGCGAACACAATGAACCCAGCTTATAACGGAACGATTCAAGGACGGTCTTTGTTCAAAAGCTTACTGCTGCATGCGTCTTGGAGGTTCTACAAGTGGACTAGACTTATCCTGTGTTTCACACTATTGCCTACCCTATTCTTGCTTTGTTCAGGTACGCCCTGCTTGACGTTGGAATGTTTGAAGACGTCTTCCTCCATATTGTCCAGCTTGGATCGTTCATTATCGCCCTGTGACAATTTTTACGAATTCGCTTGTAATGGGTGGATAAAAAGCAATCAGATACCAGCAGGGCAAAACCAGTGGTCTCTGCTGAAGCTACTTGGAAGAAGTACGGACTACTTCATAAAAGATTTACTGGGTAAGTGCCAAGTTGTGAAACATAAGTATACATTTCGAACTCATTCATACTTAACTCCAGGTCATTTGGCAAGTAGTTTTGAGTGGATGTGAAACTTGTTTTAACTAGCTGCAGATCTTTCCGAGCAAGCTGACTGTTAACAAATAATCCTATCATTCTACCCGAATAGTTGCCAATCCCTGCTAGGAGCTGATTACTGTCAAACTCTTGGTTTGTCATTTAAAGAGTTGGTTAGGTTTTGAAGGACTCAGTCACAGGAAAACGTTTCAATCTTATTGGAAATAATCGAATAGGTGCAAAGGGATTAGACGCTGTTCCACATAACGAACAGTCTGAAGATGCCAATCAAAAGGTCAAATGTTTCATATCTTTCAGTCTGCCTGATTCGTCTTAAGCGAGGCAGGAGGCCTCGTGTGACTGGAGGAACCTGGCCAGTGGCAGGCTTCAGAGTGACCCGTTACCAAGGTTAAAAAATTAAAGTACACTCAGAGAGCTACCCCGAGGGGGATATTGATGACGAAATGTGACAAAAGTTAGCAAGTGAGGTGGCCACCATTCTAGCGAACAAAAAGACCCTTGGGCGTTGAGGATATGTTGTATCTAACTGCTGTCCTCGATTCAGTACCTTGATGTCAGAAAAAGACTCACCAACAAGGAACACAACAGCTTTATTGCGAACAATCGAGTACAAAAGTTACAAAGAGCCTCGCGTTATGAAAGTGGCACCTTTTACATTGATTTAGGCTGTTTAATCGGTGTTTGGTGAACACTCATCGTCTGTCGTGGCATGTCTGAACACTCGTGGGTCGTTGTTGAAGTGAGTGACCGCTTGAGCGTTTGATCGGAAGCTGTCTTTTCTGGTCCGGATGGCCTCCCTACAGCGGTTTTGGGGATTAGAGTGTCTCGATAGGTTTTGGACATTCTGGGACTGTTTTAAGGAATCTGATCTTGCTGAAAAGATTGAAAGAGACTTGTAAGCACCTCATTGTTGTGGCAACCACACAACACAAAGTGGCACGGGGTCCACTTCTAATACGAATGCGAACGAATGTAGAAGTTGTCTCTTATATACCATGAGGTTGTTTGAGGGAAGGAAGGCAAAGTGGGAAATCTTGCCTATGCATCATCCCCGTTTCTCAAACTGTCAGAAAGAATACAGGTTGTTGAAATAATATCAGATATCGACTGTGGACTATTTTTGGTCATTCCAGCTGCTACGTATTCGTCAGATGTTGCACGTGGTGGTATACTGGTTACAGGAGTGTGCCAAAAGAGTGATTACCCCACTCCGATGGTATAAGGGTGCGGAAGCACAGGCATACAGTTAGCCTGGCCCAAATAGTGTCAGTGTATCATTACGCCTCTGAAATCGAAAATGCTGCGTCTGCCCCAAGGTGTGATTGGCAAAAACAATTTCCAGACTATTCTGTCTCCCTTTATGTATTTTTTTTTGAACAGACAACGAACCAGACTACGGAGGTCCGGTGCACTGTGCTATGATTTGATTCGTGAAACATACACTGCGAAAGTTCTCTGATCTGAAAAAGATTGCACAAATTTTATGGCTAACACTACTGGCTGGTTTTCCTTCGACGAACTGATTTGACGGGCAAAGTGTTCCATCCATTTGGGATATCGGTCTGTTGCAAAAAATCGGGTTTTTTCTTTTGCCCACACCACCAGCGCCATCAGAATGAATAGCAATGCACCAGTACTGGGTATGTAGTTGCTGTAACGCCATGAAGGAAGAAGGCGTTTTCAAAAAGCAGAAAGAAGGCCCCAATGTCAGTAGGGGAGAAGGCCAAAAGCGAGGTGTCTAATTCTTCCACACCAATGAAATAAGAACTTCTGAGAAACATACTGAATCAAGACGCGAGAAGGATCCAACGTTTATTGCGAACCTCGCCCAGCACTACCCCACGAAACAATGACAGACTAGCGTTAGCTAGGCAGTCCGGTTAGGAAATAATAGCAATCACGCTCCAGCAATCGGTTGAGTGCCTGTAGGGTTTGCTACCCCGCGCAAGGAGAATTTGATAGACCTCACATAGGAGGACCCGAAGATCCCACGGCATTCAACCTTACCGTAGCTGCCACATCACGCCATGACCTGTCCCCCGCCCGGACCTCTCACTAATAAGAGTATGGAGTGAAAAACAAGGGTTTCCTTGGCCTAAACACGTCCTACATACCCTAATCATCCCAACCTGACAAACCTTATCTGCTGCTTGAATACTTTTAACTCATTCCGTGGTAGTAGCTTACGGACCGTTTCGTTGCCTACATGCTGCAACCAGTTAACCAAAGCGCTACCAAGGAGACACGGTGATCTGAGACACTTCTGAAGTCTTCGGATCGGAGTGCCCAAGTTTCACAACCGCAGAGGTTGTTTTGTAAACACGTCCCTTCAAGCCTACCGATATTCGTTTCTGACACCAAAGGTGACGCAAGTTGGCCAATAGTGCTCACACCTTGGTGGTGCGTACGCTGACTTCATTTGTCCCAGTGCAATCACAGCCTGTGCAGTTGCCAAGATAAGTAAACCTACCGACAAACTCAAGCTCCTGTTCCTGAAGTTTCGGAAAAGTACGTGGGAGTGGAAAATCCTGAAGTAAGGCCTTGCACTTTGAAAGCTCAACCTTCACGCCGAAACAGTGAACAGTCGTTTGTGGAATCACATGATCATCGAATAACCTAACCATGTCATTTGCATAATATACTGTCTACCAATCTCTCTCCAGATATAATTTTGAAACCCAGAGTCACGATCCCTTCACGAGTACATTCCTTGATAGTATCAATGAAGAAATCGAGGAAAAAGGTTACCGACGAAGCCCACTAGGTGTGAGGAATCTTTCGGATAGTGTCCTGTCAACCTTAATGCGATAAAAAGAATGGGATAAATGGCAGAAAGAATATTAATAAAACTCGGTAAATTTCCCTTGGCCAAGCCTATACGGACTCAACCTACACAAGTGGTCGAAAGCTTCTTTGAATTCAATACAGAGCGACACAGCTGGTCAGCTATAGGCGCTGACCCGCTGTAGCACTTGGAGTAATACGAAGATGCACCTTCTATCTGGTCGGACTCCTAACTTGTGCCTTCCGACTTGCCTCTCTCGTGATGACGCCAGAAGTATTACTGAATCCAGCAGAGGCGTTACAACATAAATAGGGCCTATACTTTTACGACTCAAGCAGTTGTTGCCGGAACCTCTCTTGAATGATTGAATGGCCTCAGATCGTTGAAGTACATGCTTGTCACCAACTTATTTTAAACAACGTGGTCAAGGCGAAACACAAATGTTTACCTCCTTCTTTGAATAGCACTGAATAGAGTTCATCAGACCCTGTGGCTTCATGGTGCTGCAAAGCAGAAACTGAGGAAGGACTTCACCTCAGTCCATGGCTCGAATTAAAAGGAACAAATGAAGACATGGGTAGATCGGTAGGCGCCAACCAAACTCTTGTCCAAAATTACCGGCCGAGAGGCTAAGATACTGGTTCTTGTTGTATATTAAATTTCCCATATGGTCTTTGATGGCCCCGTTTCTGGTACCAGCTAAAACGTTTTCGGGTAGTCCCTTCGATGCTAACTACCTCCATTTCCAGAACCTTCTGATTCCACAGGGTTTCTCAGACTGTCCTTGAGTTGATATACAACAGGCCCTTCTGGCCGACCTATGCCAAGTCTTCAATGGAATACGAGATCTGGTATCGGGAAACAACAGTAGACTTTCTGAACTACAGTGCTTATTGGATAGGCCTTCAGAAACAGCACATGTCGGGTTCCCTATGGAATGAATGGTGGTGCCTATCTTATCCCATTTACCACTGTAGTCTTTTGGGGGTGTGGAACTCAAAGATTCGCTCAGGCTAGCTTGGTAAGATTGCTTAACTTGTGGGTGAGAAACTTTTCGATGCCTAACCGATAAGTTTGTTTTTTGGATCTCCCATTGAAACTTGCTGAAAAATTACACCGGACGAAAGCGTGAGCTGAATCCATGTAAAGGGCTTACAAAGACTGGCAGTCAGGATTAGCCCCTTGTCACCAGGTCCTGCATTTGTGTATTCAATCTGGCTCCGTCATCAGTTGTGGAAAGTCAAAGGGCGCAACAGTGCCCACTGTGCCTGAATTAGGTTCTGCAATTTGTGATCGGATTGTGGTCATCATCATCATCATCGACAGCATGACGTCAGTGTTCAACACCGATGCTTCGCTGCCGTACTGTTGTGGTCAACGCGAAGCTTGAAATTCTATCACCACTATCACTACACCTTGAGCCTAAGATGAGCAGTTAGTCAAATCGCACCTCCGGTGAACTGAGACCTCTCACTTTTGCACTAAGATCTCCGGAGGCTAGAACAATAGCTGAACCCGTCGTACTGGATAGAATAGTTAATTAGTTTCCCACCACCATCAGTCAGTCGGCTGGCGAATATGCAGCACCTTTTATTGCTTGTATGTGAGCTAAGATGCCGCCAGGGCACCAGAAGCTAAACAGGAGGATGATTAGAGCCCCAAACTATAGGCTCAAAAGCGTGAGCCCGGTGCAGCGAATTTTGGCGGAGAATACCAACGCATTATGGTTTTGAAAGAACGAAAAACCACATGTTCCAGTTTCAAAACTGTATTCGAAACGGTATTAGGCTAACCTCTATCCATTGAACAATCTGTGCATTTCATACGATAAGCCACCAGTGTACCTTATTGGGTCAAAAAATTGTATGGACAATTCGACCACGGTAAGTTCTAGTCTCTTCCCTCCCCCTCGTATACCTAGAAATCCTTGTATACTTGCCGAATTTTTTCAATCAGTCCATATGAAATTTCCACTCAGACTTACATATATATGTACTAGTTAGTAGATAATAAGCTCTTGCCTAGCAAAACCATGCACCGTTTTTGCTACCACAGGTAAAGTTTCCCGTATTGCAAGTGAACAGATTCAATAGATTTTGGGATGCTGACTATCACAGTAAAATCCTAGCCAGTTGTAAATTGGCCTACTATTTTAGGGAGTCTGATGAAGTTTCAAAAACCCTGTCTGCATAACTTAGTTCCGACACGAGTGCTCTAAACGAAACCACTGCTGGTATGAATGGATGCTGGCTTGTGTCTTAGCAATGTGACCATATGAAGACATGCACATCTGCTTCCATAGGCTGCTGTGTTTCAGAGCCAACGGGCAGTGAATACTTCGTCCTTGTGAAGGCCATTTTCCTCGTTGTTCTACAACGTAGACATGAGACATCGGAGAAGATCACGACGTCTCTTTAAGATAGCCCGGACTGTTTTCAAAAACAAAAGACGACAAGATACGCAAACTTGGTGACCTCCGTGGAACGAGCACGTATACCTAGTGTGTATACCACATGGTTACACAGAGTTTCAGCTCAAAACACGATAATTGGAATGAAGAACTACTATGTGAGTTTGCATCAGCAATTCAGAAAAGTGGTGAGAACAAAACTGATTAGTTGTGAGCGGATGTAAAACTGGCTTTCGGAATCAGTTCTATCCAACCATTTTATCACGCCTAATTTCATGCTGACTGAAAGAGTTGGGTTTGCATAAACTTCTTTTATTCAAAATAAGAATGTCAAATAAATTAGGATTGTGGGGCACTGAAGCATCAGTATTAAACACTGATATTGTGTTGTCCATCATTGTTTGAATGATCGAAACTGCTGTCGGTCAACGGTTGCATGTAATTGTTCGATCGATATTGGAGACATTTTCACATATCTGGTTCATGGTTCGGCCTTTAAAAGTCTCATCCTAAGCCGTAACAACCATAGAGAAGTTTTAGTAACTATGCATGGTATCCAGAACACAAAATCTCATTCGTCCCATTCGTTTTTTGTCCGCTCATCTGCTGATGATCCAGGTTTTAGGGAATCAATAAATGTCACGTGACTAGCCATTCTTCTCTGTTTAACATCCGCTGACAGACTAAAAATGATGTAGTACGCCATCTATCGATCAATAGGTAAGTAACTCGCAGCCAATCGGGTGAATTGAGCTCATGTCATTTTGGAACTCCTGAGATGAAGTTTTTTCATCCCAGGAAGTGTCAAGTAGTTTATTCGTACCCATGTCCATGTAGAATGCAGAAAGTACAGCTTGTGATGGATGAATTTTTTTAATATCCCATTCTAACCTTTAACTAGTAACCCTAACTACCAGTTTTAATCATAATTAGGTCACTGATTTGACTCATTACTCAGTAGTGTAACGACAACGACAACTCAGTTGCGCTATTTCTTGACTTTTAGCTGCTACAAATGCTCAGCGAATGAGTTAATCCGGGTTTCTTAAATTCAAGCTGTTCAGTAAATCGTACGACCGTCTATGACTCTGGGAAATACTACATCAACCCTTGATAGTTGCTGATTCGGTAATGTGGTCATAAATTACTGTTTTTTGTTCTTCGTACAACCCCCCAGGAATATAATGAATTTGACTTTACTGTGTTCACTGATTTCCCCAGAGAACCAAAGCATCCCAAACCCCAGTCCCGGACTGGTCATGGCACAGGCTTTTTACAACGCTTGCATGAACGAGTCGCTGATACAGGAACGAAAATTCGCCCCCCTATTTAGCTGGATCACACGGTTGTTTGGCGGTTGGTCACTGCTGCCCAGCAATAGTCCAGGTGCACGAACTGACAACGGGGATTTCCTGACAAAGGACCATTTTAATCTCACCGAAATGTATCTGTCCCACTTCAAAATCTACGGCTACAATCCACTGTTCCAGATTGAAATCGGTCAGGATCTGAAAAACTCATCGCATTTTGTCATTGAGGTATGTTCCAGGATCGGAATTTACCCTCATTAACGGGTATGGAAACGTGCTTCATGCAGACCCGACACCTCTTGTTAAGACTAATACATCTTCAGAAAGGCTTCACTGTCTTCTGAAGGGAAAGCCGAATAGACGTCGTCATATTTATACGAATTTAATTTAGGATGCCTTTATTCTGTTCAACCTCGGGATTTTAAGACTACTCGTTTAAGAAAAGTGTTTGAACTAAGCCGTTGAGTGTTATGCTAACTATGCTGATGCAGAAACACTTTTCCTATTGTCTACAGATTGCCCAAGGTCATCTTTGTCTTCAACGGGAAAATTACCTAAACGAGACCTCACCGACTTACGAAAAGGTAAGTAAATTTGGCACAATGTTCTGTTGTTGACGGATAACTAGGAGTCGGATTTATGTCACTCCATTTGGGACCGTCTTCCTTCCACCTTCTGGTCAGTCCATCTTCCACCTTTGTCTTCTCCTTCTGTCATATCTCTTTCATTGCCCTTTGGTGTGGGTTAATGAAGACAGCCAGAGATAGTGGACGAAATTCTGAATTTCCCCACGACTTTTCTCAAAGGGTGCAATAGGTTTTGTAATCGAGCCCATCAGGTCCTGTTGCAATGGGCCGATTAATCCATTTGATTCAACCAGACCGTATGTGCATAATACTGTCTTTTTTCAACTGAGTGTTATATTATGGGGTGAGATGGACCAAGTGGTTAGAGCGTGAATTTACTGACCAGAAGATCCGCGGTTTGAACCCGACCTCTGCCTCTCGACTTCCCCTGTCTATACTTGGGAGACCTGGCAGTATTCCAGCCCTCGTGCCTTCTTCGTGTGTCACGGCAGCTAGGCACCGAAAGGGTGCTGCAGCTAAACGGTTTTTGTGTTATGTTATCTTACGTTCAACTCATATGGCAAAGTCATATCATGTACTGGTAACTGGCAAAGGACGTGTGCCCTTTTGTCGTGAGGTTGCTGAAAAGCTTCCAGAAGCCCACAACCTCTTTCGCTGATATTCGGACCCATCAGGTAGACGCAGTTCCCAGGTTTCCGGTAACCTATTGTTGTGTTTGAAACCGATTTGGACAGAATTCACCAACTACTTTCATTTGCACACGAATTTGCTTTTAACGGGGACCGAACTGAATTCAGCTTGGTCTCTACCGTTAAAACTAAATTAATATACAAATAAATGTATCGAATAAACATGAAAGTCCTTAAAAATGGCTAGCAGTAGCCAAATCAGAAGCATCCACAAAATTTCAAAATCATTCCACAAAAACCCACGATGCAAGCAGAATACACCTTGGTACTTGTGAAACCGCTCCATTCTCAATTGTGGGTTCAGACCTCTACCTAACCTCGTAAGGCCACGTGAACTCTGGCATTCCCTTTGGCCAACCTAATGATGATATACATATATAAATATGTATTTATATATCAATGAGTGGCCCAGCAGCTCGTTAGAATGCCAAGGTCCTTCATATATATGTGCAGCAAGATATATTCCAAGTAGTATTCATTTTGTAGTCCCATCATTATGAGGGCGGATTTCGCAAAAATGCACTTTTTCTCAAGCAACAGCAATACTGACCACAACAAGTGTGTTCGGCCGACCAGGGTGGCCGTGACGGACGGATGACCTAATGGTCTTGAGTTCGACAGAGTCCGTCAGTGACATGTATACGTCTCAAATAAGTCTGGCAGAACACTAGTCTATCTTGGTCGACCTTTCACAATCTGCGTGAGTGATCGCCAAGTCCAAATATAAGTAAGTCCAAATATATAAGTAAGTAGATAAGCCAAAAACAAGGCCATCCATTCACTGGCTCCATAGGCAAGCACCTTTTAGAAATGACCAAATTATCTCCCAAAAAGGTCCGTTTCTCCCGAACTGACAAGGAATAAAAACCATCCCTTGCATCAAGCTAACAAGAATACTAAATCTTAACACCATCTTCCTAATTGCTACTACTCTTCAGCGCTTGATACTGAAAGACGCATTAGTTGAGCTCGCATCAGTAAGAAGGCAAGTTAGAATCGCCCGAGAATTTCTTGAGTTGCCCACTAGTGATGAACGGCCCTACTCTGCATGGGTCGACTTCGCTTCTTGTTTCAATAAAAATTTAGCCTTGCGCCAGTGTTTTCAACCACTTTTGTCAGTAACTCGGGGGGATTTTTATTCTGAATCGAGTGCAGAGCTCCCGAAATGATAGTTGTCAACTCTCACCGTCGTGATTATTGTTATGCAACCAGACTTTAGTTTGTACATGAAAGGAGAAATGTGAGTTTGAATACTACAAATATTATTGTATTTCTTTAACTCCCTGCTCCCTGGTATGAAGCAAGCAGAAATTGTTTATAAAGTATAATACATCAAATGTGAACATTATTCAGTCGCATGGCTCTAGTCACATGATTACTGCCACAAGTTCAAAATCAAAGTTTTTTTGCGTACACAACGCTGATCGGTGAGTCCTAATCAGTATGACCCCAGCAATCGTAATTTTTTGGTAACACACGAACGCAATTTACATAGGTCCAGGTAGTGACCGGTTTTGTTGTTTTCTGTATCCGTACTTCTCGGATAATTCAAGATGTACCGATAAAACTTATGAGATGGCCAGGTAGGAATTTCAAAGCGCTTACATAGATGACGTCCTAAGAGGTTCGTAACTCTGTGGGATGACCCAGGACGAAGATGAAGATGACTTAGCTCAGCGCAGGATAACCTAACACGGATTTTTATCAGAATCTGAACACTTCCTGGGATACCATATTTTGGCATCAAGTCACCTTTAGACTTCGAGATTCCCGCTGAGATACCCTGAAGGTTTTATTGATGTACCTCAAGAAAAATATCAGAACACCTCCCCGTGGAAAACACATGTTAAAATCGGACGTTTAGGCTGAGTAGTTCTGATTAAAACAACTCGGTTCCTACAATTCTAATGGCTTCTTTGTAAAGTAAGCTATTTGTTCTTGGGAATCGAAAACGATTTCTTTAACTGGGAAAGGGGGTTTAACGGAAGATTTAGGTGATTCTCCTTCTGGACAGCTTTTCACCTCCCAGGAGATCCCTTGCAATTCAGATTTTTATCTTCTACCAAAATAAGGTGAAGTTCCATCAGACCTCAGTCATTCCAGTCTTCTGGTCATAAGATTTCGCGAAGAATTTCCAGTTTCTCTGTTTTTTCCCGGTTGTCCTTGTTCTACTCCCAAACACGCGCCTACCTTTGTATTCTACCGCCCCTGTTTCAACAGGACGTAAGTTTGACTCTTATTTTGCCCGAAAGCATCATGCAATTCAACGCTGATTATTTTATCCAAAAGCATCCGCACCCTTTGGCAAAATTCTTTGCAGTCTAAGGTCTAGAGTGAACAAATAACTCATCCCCGTATTCAGGGTGGACAAAGAATAATTACCGAGCTTTGAAATCCTTCAATGCACCAAGACACAACAAGAGGTTATAACAAAGAAACTTACTGATCTTTTGAGTAGTCCAGCAGTTGTGTGTGTTTGTTGAACATCCACTTATCGTTTAATATCCCCTGAAAACATAAGTGGTAGCTTCAATAATTGAAAGCTTCCAAAAACACTTTATCGCCTAAACACTCAACGTAAAGATGCGGCCTAGTTTTAGGCCAGTTTTTTCAGTGTTCTGCCTATCACAAGGTAAGACATCTAACTAAATGAAATGTAGTCTTTCTTGCTGGAAAATTATTCTGTCAGTGGACATACCATTCACTCCATCTTACAGGGCTTGATGGAAAATCGTAGAATAGGACTCATTGGTGGCTATCAACCAGATGTACGTCATTCCACGCATCAGTTGCTCCACATTCTCCTTCAGGGATGCGACAGCAATAGATGCGTTTCTGGTATGGTCACAGAGGAATAGCTTATGGGTTGCCATCTTGTGTTGCAAATGCCCCTCAGTCCTGACGACCTTCACTTTGCCGAAGACACACGAGTATGGGTCCGAGCTTCATTGATTCGTCCTGCACTTATCCTCAGTCTGTTAGCCCGTGTGACGACAAGTTCGCAGAGCTGACCTTCTGCATCGTGGCACAGGCAAGTATTCAAACTGTTATGGCCTGTATTCGCGGAGCCATAAAAGGTAACTTAACAGCTGAACTCCATGGTGTTTGCTCGAGTGAACCGATCAGCTGAGGGAACGCTCTAGGTCCATTCACGGCCATCTAGCCTGAAGTGACCAGCGTGACTGCGAGTACGGTCGCCGGTCAAACGGCTTTGGAGATGCCGTTGCGTATCGCACACTTTAGCTCGCTGATTTGGAGCCTTAGGCAGAATAGATTGGTTTGAAACGTGAATAGTGTTCATCCGTGGTCAGCCCTCAAAATTTTGTTTTAGAATACTACACTAAACCAAGGAGTCAGTAAACTAAACCCATCCACTTGAAAATTTGTCAGTTGGAATCAATAACGCCGAGACACTAGGCAAAAGGTTCCCGTCACATGGAAAGGCACTATCTTCTTGAGAGCAGTCTTCATGTTTTTTCATGTTTGAGTCACTAGGGTGTCTTGAACCTTTAAGACAGTTGGGCTAACGGACCAACAGGAATTCAAAAACGTTACCAAACACCAGGTTTCCTTTACTTATCAGTTTCAATATGCAATGAACGCGTTTTTTTAACGCACCAGACACACTAGGTACCATGCTCAGTGGATCAGTGGTGAAATAGAAAACACATGTCTTATTGCATCTCATACCTACTCGGTTTATCGGGTGAACGCATTATCACAGCAAGCGCAAATGCATGACGAATGAAATGAGAAAAAACATCTCCCTGCTCCATTCATTCATTCATCCATTTATTCAGTGATTTTGGTGAATGGCTATTGCATGGTCCTCAAGGTTGGACAATCTTAAGCTAACAGTTTTTCATTGTGATGTCGCCCCAAAAAAAGAACAACGTAATGGGAAACCAAAACGACGTAGTGTTATTTAATATAGAAGTCGAAGACACAAAACCTGAATATGCATGCAAAAATGACCTATTGATTAGAATCACCAGAGTCGATTTTTTACAGAAACTATAGTCCTCTAGAGAGGGCCAAATTCTGTGTGATATCTAGTACATCTTCTAGTGCGGGAGGAGAAACGGTCTTCTAGCCTCTCCGATGAGATACTCCTACTTTACACCCAACTGTAGAAAACGTTCCTCCGAAAAAAAAACAGCTTACCTCTGATTCACTGTACGCGCTTTAATTCGTATCCCGAATTTTCCATTTTTTTTAATCAAAATTAGCCAGTGACGGCCTACAAATCGTTTATGCGCAATTACTCCAAACTGCTGGGAGTTCCGTCGGATAAACTGGATGAGTTGAATGCCATCTATGATTTTGAGAAGAAGCTTGCACAGGTAAGAATTTACTGAAGAAAGTCTTTACTGTTTGAGTTTGTTTCTGTGTAGATTTGAAAGGGGTAACACACCAGACCACCACTGTACTCCTGCCGCGCCACCAATATACTACTAACATACTTTTTATCCCAATCTCCAAATGTGAAAAAAACAGTAGTTCGAATCCGTTGAACGTTTGGTCTCCCGCGAAGAATTTCAGACAACTGATGATGATTTTACTCTGTAATGCATCACTTCTCACTGGGATGCTCCATCCTTTCCCAATGTAAAAGTCACAAAGTTTCACACAAACCACTGAGGCAAAGTGTAGATCCACTCGTTGCATTAATTTTCAGCTGACGGCAAGTTCAAATTAAAGAATGGATTTCGGTGGACTCAAGTTGGAAGTCATTTTCCGGAGTGGCACAGCTCAAGGGGGAAATATGACACAACATCGGCAACTCTCTCTCTTTGCAGCAAATCTTGTGGACAGAATGAGGATTGTTCCCTAAGGCATAAAGCAACACAATCAAAATGTTGAAGTCTTTGCGTTATGGTTAACGTTGAGGCCTTTCAACTTGAAATTTCATCTTGGCATCTTCATCGCTAACAGCTAGCAGTCGGAAGAGAACGTGACCAGTCAGTTGAGAACGAGGACCACGTAGTACAGAAGACCGAAACGGATGGTTGAACGCATCTAAAGAACTATTCTGGCCATGGCTCTCTTTTGAACTGCGTGGCAATCGTGATGAAATGATTCATCTGTGCTTTATAAGGTTTCTTCGCCTGCATTGGTGCATGCGTACATCTAATTACCAGTTACAGATCAAATTCAGCTTATACCAGGAGGCATGCCTTGGGAATATTTTCGATTTACCAAGTGTCCAGTCTCAGATTCTCGATGTAAACTTCCAGATGAGTAGTGATGACCTATTCGAGTCTACTACTGGGTGAGACGTTTTTGTTGGTCAGCAATACAACACATGACTTTGAGTCCATATTTGAAGAGGTATGTTGCCGTGATATTCAAGCTTAAGCCATGGGTTGCTCCAAATTCTCTGTGCTTCCGGTATCAGGCCTAAACTGGAGTACAGGCAACCTGTTAGATCGCCGGAATAAAGCACTATCATCGTCCAAGACGAATCTAAGGAAGCAGTTGTCGGATCTTTGAAATTCAAACTATCAGTACCACCATATGTTGTACGAGTTTGGAAGGACAAGATTTTGAAAGGGCCTTCTAGTGCACGAAAGGCCATCACTAAAAACCCAATGAACAAAGATACATTGTTTTGACTCTTTCTATGGGGGGGGGGGGGGTCTTTCTAGGGGGGGGTAGTCGATGTGTGGGAACGGTCCCCCAATGTGATTACGTTCGACGATACTAATCTGGAAGAAAATGTGGTGGATTGCAAAAGCAAGAATCCATCCAATCACCGGCGTCTGATGAATTGTTGATGTGGCCAGAAGAGTGACAACAGAGGGCCACACTTTTGCTGTCCACAAGTGGCCCAGTGTGTGATGTTAAGAGCAGATATCTGTAAGCATTACTTCAATGTGGAATGTAAGTTTATGGTGATCAAAAAACCACATGAAAATCATCGAAGCATTTTTCATAGTAAGCCATGGATCCAACGAAACTCGGCTGCTGTGAATTCTACATTAATTCCAATTGAAAATTCTATATTAACCAGAAAGCCGAGCTTTGTAAAATTGCACATTCTGGATAATATGTTGCTTTCAATGGAATGCTGATGCACCAGCACACTTGGATCACTTACGTATTTTCCCTAGCAGCTCCTTTAGGCTACTAAATAGTCATTAGAATAACTCAATATCTGATGTTAATCCGTGGAATCTTTAGGCAGAAGGTATGCTACTTGCTCGGTTTCACATAGTTGTTGTGCGAAATGAATCATCCTATCAGAAGATCTTGCACTTTCAACTTTCCCGTGACTGAGTGAACCCCACAGTGTTATAGTGAATTGTCCGTCTCAGTGACCCCCAGTATCATGCTGGGGAGTGCGTGCTCGACACGCGCAGTCTCTCATACCAGTTTGATCTGTGGTTAGGGGTCCGACCAGCACCGTTTTCTGGACGTCCAGGTTGGGAATCGAAACATGCGGAGATCTGTACTTTCCGAACCCCGCTTAACACCATTGCCTTGAAGTCGGGGTTTTCATCCAAGGACTTCAGTTTGGGTATCGGACTCTAATCGCACACCTGTTTAGGTCTGCACGGTATCCTTATCCGCCGTACAAATATGATTCCAGTAAACAAAGTGAACCCATTTCACATCGGCCTTCACGTGGTTCCATCGACTTGGTTGCCTTACTAGCTACATAGTGCAGGAAATATAAATGGAAACATGCTGCTAGTGACGCCTCTTGTTCCTCTTCCACGTACGTTTTCGTCTTCCCTCGCCGATCGCATTTATACTGCTCTCCTTGTAGGCCCATGACGAGCCCCTTCCCCTTATATCGCCCTAAGCTGCGATGCATGAAGGTTTTTCGGCACCAAGAGCCTCGGATACTTTCAGGCCCGTCTTCGGGGCTAGGCTTCCGTTTCATCCGGTGGCCTTTATCGTTTGGACTGTTAAGCAAGTAGGACAACAGTCTGCTTTTGCTCACAAACGTAACTCTCCCGAAGTTAATGTATGCAGTGTGTCAGAGACAAGAATGCAATATCCAAGCTCAGTTGTTAGGCCAAATGTCCCACCACCCTCCTTTTGCTCCTGGCTGTGTAAATCTGACGATCATGAGGAAGCTGCTCAGGAGGCAGGATCGTTTCTCACCAAGCAGAGTGATCCTTGATCCACTGGATACCCGTTGTTAATCATTCCTGTTCAGTTAGTTTGACAATATGCCCTTAATGGAATCGGATGACCTTGGAGTGAACGATAATTCGTCGATTGTGTTGATGATTAATTCCCAACAGACTATAGCTCTGATACCAACAAAGATATTTTTAAGAAACTTTGATCACCCATCTAAGAAGGGCCAAACATTCAGGTACTGTTGGGGTCGTCAGGTTTTCAATGCAAAGATAGTCATACCTAAGGCAGCTGAGACTCAATCATGTGAGCAACATGGATCTGACTCGATACTTCAGGGCAAAGCCGAACAACTGGTTCAGTTTTGTACTGACCGCGCAGTATTAACTTCCGACACCCAAACTCATTTGGATGCACGGTGGATTCTAATAGCGTGCCAACCGTGGACCACCATCAGTTAACTACGGTTTGGATCAGTTGCTCCCTTTGGAATACTTCTGTGGATACTGGTCATCCATTCGCCTGGAGGCTCATCTCGCTTCACTTTTTCGGGATCGCGACTGCGGCGAATAGTTCACTCGGTAGATCCTGATTCCAAACATACTTGTCAGAACCGTCCCCCGAACTCTGCTCAAACTACTGCACCAGTGGAAGTCAACTGGCGCTGGAACAAGGTCGCCACATCTTTGCATGACATCTGAAGCTTCGCCTGCAGCACAGTATAGCCAGTTTCACCCAGATACGAATTGCTTGAATTTCGAAGAACTGTTCTCATCAGTCCGGCAATTTATCAGATTCCAAGTAGAAATTAGCATGCACACCGACCGAGCCCGAAGTCTGGTGGGCAAAGAAGACCAAGGAAAAGGAAGAGGCAGTTTGTAGTATCCCCCATGATTGGTCACCGAAGAGCAGCACCATCGGGGTGCGATCATCTTCGACAAAGAAGGATGCCAGGATCGCTGTACTGAATACTTTAGACAACTAATTTCTGCTGCTATTTCGTAGGATTCTCTAACTGCAGTTAAACCCTGAATGATGAGCCTGAACTTACCTACATCTTTATTTGATAAGCCTCCACTGAGTTGATGATCCGGTTGAGTGAGTGATTGAGGATGAGTGAGTGAAGTCTTCAATCAGCGCTTCTCTGATCTCTTAGCCTTTATTTGGAAATAACAGACACTTCAAAGAAATCTCAAAAAGGAGGCCCCTTTATGGACATCGCAGTTACGTGAACATCAGCCTGACTCTGGTTTTGACGAAGCGCTTGGCGTCACCTTATGGTGACCCGTTAAGCGGTGCCTCGGAGGCAGTAAGTGGGATTTCAGTCTGGTTGGGATTGCGCTGACTACAACGTTAAACTCCATCGTATGCTAGAACAACATCGTACGTGTAAGCGATCAACATGGACTTGCAAGGCGCACCTGACTCTGCAGACCGATCAGTTCTTTTCAACACGAATTCGCAGCAAGGAATACCCTGGAAGTTTGTCACTATAATAATTCCTTTGCATTCTCATATCTGTGGGCGTGTGGAGATGTACTAGTGGCTCTTAAGTAGCACTTAAACAGACGTGGTTTCCAGCATGAGTTATCCCTTTCCATTCCTATCCAATTTCGAGATTAACGAATTACTGGAATAAACGCTGGGAGGTCTTCAAAAGCCGACTGTTCAAACAGTTGCTGATGTAAACTTTGTCAATCTGGAATATACGGATGACGTAGTTCTCGTCTTCGAAACGGAAAAAGAAACACTCTGTAGTAACGGTATTTTCCTCAGCTTAGTTCTCGGTCTGAGCCCCCCAAGCTAGCGTTCACGTCCAAACAACCACCAAAGGTGCACAAGGTCTATTAACGCCCAAAACGAAATCAGGAACAGTTGTACAGCGCTTCGTATATATAGCGTAAGCGGTTATAACTTTCTGGAATTTCCGACGCGTTCTGGATGCGCCATTGGCAACCGGCATTTGGCCAATACTGGGTCATGATTGGCTGTTGGGTGACCAACCTCGGGCGGGCCAGGCTTATCGGCCGTAGCAGCGCCTAAAGACGTGCGGTATAGTGGGATCTGCGTGGATTCCTGCCTAACACACTCTTTTTTCCAATTAATAGGAAGCACTCTTGTTTTCGAATGAAATGACGGGGGTCATTCCACATTTTGCTATGTGCTCTACACCCGAAAAGTGGAGAGCAATGCCTTTGGACATTTTTCATTCAACAAGCCACTAACAATCCAAGAAGAGGCATTAGAGTTTATGGAACGTTCACTCCAGCTGTATTGTGACAATTAATATCGATGCACGATGAGGTATCTTGAGTTAGATACCGGTGGCCACAAAGCGGCATATTTCTGAATGTCGAAACTGGGATGTATCAGGCTGCAGAATAGGCTGTTTTGAAGTACTTTCATGAGACGTGGCATCTGCGAACAGTGGAACTGAGATGTATCCAGGTCTTCGAAGGGGCTGGTGCCATTGAGCCGCGACGAGGTAATTATAGAATGAGCGTTTAGCTATCCAAAAAAGGCAGAATACATCCAGTACCGAAATACGCACACGCCAAATCGTCTGCCGAAAAGAATACTTTTTTCTCAATTAGAGAGGTAGATAATTTCAACCTAAGGTAGCGGTGTATGTAAGTAAATACTAAAGATCCAAATACTGTCAGCGTGACCGGGATTCTGAGCTGAGTTCTGCATGCTCCTCTCTAAGTGTGGCTGGAGACGCTGAAAGACATTGATGCTAACCGATATTAATGACGTTCTTGTTATCAGGTTCTATCCAGATTTTCTAAATGAGTTGTAAACATCTCATCCCTTCCTTGTCCTTTTTCCACCTACTTTCTTTTCACAACGAGCATCTCAAGTAAATTACGGTTGTACGGCAGCGAAGTACCAGCTTAAGGCTGTGGATTGCAATGTTGGTGACGATATTTCCCCACCCAACCTCAACTAACCGAACTCTTATTCACATTTAATACAGAACATGGAAGATCGGAGTGAACGAGATCCTGAGAAGTATTTCCTTCTCACAACGCTGAAGAATTTGACTGATATATGCCCGGTGGTAAGCGCATTTCAGTAGTTAAAATTTGACTGATAATTATTTTCTAACCGTGCCTCTGGTTTAAACGTTGGGTAGTAAACTCTCGAGGCAGCGAGCTGTTCATTGCATCACCGTGTGGGAAAAAATCAAAACGGAAAAGACTGACGTTTCTCGTGCCAAAGTGGCTAATTCTTCCAAAACAGATGTGCTAGACACATCGAATGCAGGATGTGCATACAGGCTAGAAGTAACGGACCAGCGCACTGCCTAAACTCGTATTAGTGTGTGCGCTTACTGAATGAGGGGATCGTAGAGATCCGAAAATTAGTTACTGAAAGCTGTCTACGAACTAAATGTTAGCATTCATAGACGATGTAGACTCTTTCACGTATTCCCGTACGGTGGGGTGATCCATAGAGTTGTCATTGCTGAATAGAATGTAGCAGACGAGACACTTATAGAAGGGGACTACGAAGAAGTCCGAGTTTGAAGGCTTTTCCGATGTAGACCAACTGTGTACTGTATCGTTTGTTATTGCAGCAAATAGCAAAGTGGGTCAGAAATTGTCTCGGCTTCAAGTGGAAGAAAAAATCAACGAAACAGTTCGCCGGTACCGTACTATCACGTGATGATGATACTGGATCACGCGTCCACGGAATTTAGTCACTCCTAGCCGTAGCAGCTGCAATCAGGTTTACTGTAGGAGCGCGGAGCTCCGATCATTACCTCAGGTGGCTGACAACTGTGGGCGGCAGTTACTGAAATTCCCGAACTCTCGTACAAGAACTTCGAAGAACAAGGCTTAGAGGTACAATATTCCATGTACAGTGGGACCACGAAAACAACAAATCTGGTAATAATAAGGAATAGGAAGAAGCTCTCATCACCAGTCATGTAAATGACAAGCGTCCAAGCCATTTATGCAACCGTTTGAGTCGTTTCTATTCAGACTCAGGCGCCCCCGACAAACATCCCCAGTTTGATGATTCAGAAATACTTTCACCCCCTCTCGCGAAACAACGGCTGTCGTGTCCAGTCATTCAACAGCGAATTTTAGAAACAGTGATGAAATACAAAAAGATTCTATGCAAATGGACGTGAGGTTAGCTGAAAGTTGGTGATAGGTTTGTTGAGTATCGTTGGTCAGCTTCGCTCCATGGATGGCCCAGAGATGGAGAATGCAGATTGTTTGAAAGGTCTAGTTGGTTCGATCTCCATAAAACTTCGGTGCTTTGAAACGTCTAACATGCATTACAGCGGGCGCAACCACTGATTAACTGTAACCTACCGTGTGAATCAGCCAATCTGAACGCGAACCCACTCGGTCAGACAGACAAGAGCATACCTATGAAGTAGCTAGTGATCTGAGGACCAACAAGAAGCGTGAGTTCGAAAAACGTTCTTCCCTGCGTTGCGAATGACCCCACGATGACCTCATCGCTGGTACAATTACATGCTGACATCTAAACTATTATGTGATACTTTTTGAATACTACTTATAAGGGTGAAAGAGACGTTCCAACAGCCAACTGCCAGTTGCTGTCGAAACTTTTATCTTTTAATTTTTTATTTCAACTTATATAGTTCACATTTGCAAAGCGTGTCTACTGCTTGACTGTGCAAGGTGTGATCGATCAAACCATTGTTCAAACGCTATCCTGGATACCTTAACAGCTTACTTAGCAATTTCGTGATAGAATTTCGCCTCACCTGTTGAAAATCCTGAGATTTTTACACGGTATGTCGGTTTTTTAGGTTAAATCGATCGTGCTCAGTAACTGCTCTCAGAAACAGTTACTTCACCACTACATGTTCAATAATTTCGAAGTTATGATCGTTTCCTAAAAATGCTAGTGGAGTCAGGCCTCCTGATGTTGCGGGAGTCACATGCAGTCTAGGCCACAACCGATCAACTACGAATTGGTATTCCTGACACCTGATGTGCTGAAAAACTGGGAAAGTATCAGCAATTCTTCGTAAGATCATAAAATATTAATCTACCGAAACACGTTCGAGGATATCTTTTACTGGATGTTAAAATTTCTATTATTCCTTTCAGCTGTGAAACATGAAACGCCTAGGACACATACAAGAATGCATTAACAGCAATGCTGAACAAACAGGAAAGACTATGTGACCAAAAACACGGAAGTCAGATGAATCAGTCTAGTCAAAACTCTGCCCTTTCGAGCAAGACGGATCTGTTGTATTTTGTACACATTAAAGGACAGAGTGAATTCGTGACTGAGACTCAATCATCAAAAAGCTCTCCGAGCTGTTTCATCGAACTCCACAGTACTGGTGGTCCTGAAAGCCATCAAAGCTGGTAAGAAGATTGTCTACCGTTTTCTGCGACGCAGAATGGACCAGTTGACTAATAACATCGGAAGAGGGGATCCGGAATGTATAACTCTACAGCGGNATGTATAACTTACAGCGGAGCACTAGTACACCGGATTCAGACTGAGGTGACGTTTCCCAAGAGAGGGGCATACTCAATCCGATTCATCTGCTGTTCTTGTGTTCCATCAGTAGTCTTGCAGTTGTGGAAACAGAGCGATGTCTACTCAAATGCATGGCTGAAAACTTCCTCACAGCACTGACGCAGCTGGATCCAAAAGGTCAGGGGTCAGCCCGTGACTCAGCTTCTTCAGTCGCCTATAAATACTTTACCAGATATATCCAGACGGTTAATTTCATGTGCTGCCTATCAGTGAAGCCTTACTCACCACTCAGCTCCATACATACGAAAGTTATCGAAGCAGTCCATATAGTTTCCGCGGTAGTGATCACATGACGTTAGTGTTAATGCATTCTTGTATCTGTTCTCCAATCTGAAGGCAGTAAAAGAAACTTTAACATCACTTGACGTTTATCTTCTGCTGACAAAAGAATTGCCACATTTTATAGCACTTATGCCACACAAGTCGCGCTACAGTCTTTATTTTCTATTCTAACGTTCCCTTTAGTTCGAATGGAAGCTATTACTCAGTCGGCTTTTCGAACCCTTGAACTACACCATTTCGGACAATCAAGCAATTGCTTTGACGGAAACCAAATACTTCAAAGCTCGGTGTCAGGTTTACATGGATTATATGAAGAACGATACGGGTATAAGGTGAGCTCCCGTTTCTGAGCTGGTGAATATTGAGACATATTGAATCGCGTAAGACTACCATGTTTGTTAGAGCTTTCAGGTTTCACTAAATTTTGACCTTGGAAAGAATTGTCATCTGTTTTTTATTGTTATTTACTGCATCATGTCTTGCGAAATTTAGTCCTATAAATGAAGTCAAACTAAGCTGAACAACTGAGGGACACTGTACAGCTGTTTCATCCTTCTGGGAAACATCAGCAGGGCGCATCTTACAAAACGCAAGGATGAAACGAACCCGCGACCTCCCGGCTAGTGGCTTCAACACTAAGCCAGTCACGAGCTGCTGGGCGCATCTTCAAAACGCAAAGAATGAAAGAACCCGCGACCTCCCGGCTAGTGGCTTCAACACTAAGCCAGTCACGAGCTGCTGATCAGTAGTGTGATTAACTTCCACTTAGACCGGATATCGCACCATTTGTCCTTCAACCATGAAACTCAGATCATCTGTTCCAGTGTTGACTGGTCGCTCGACAGGTGGCTTCTCGGATAGAAGGTTCATTCACGCGTCCAAACTATTAGCCAAAAGGTCAGGAGTTCAGTTTGAAACTGTTCTGAAATTTTGTGAGGGACATACTGGTGATGATTCTCAACAAGAATGAAACAGCTGACATTAGCCTTCCGCCTATCGACTCACTCGTCGGGCTGTCTAACTAATGTTATGTGTTGAGTGAGGCAAGGAAAACCCACGCTTTTTCATATCCAGATGCATCTGTTTTATTGTGAACCAAGCTGGACAAGCTTTGGTGTTTTCACTAGAGGTTTTGTCCTGTTAGTGTAAAACCAAGCTATGTTGAAAAGCCAACTGACATTATGCACATCTCACGAACCGCGATCTTCCGGCCATCCGTTGCACAACTAGCCGTTTGACGACAAGCGGAGTGAACTGTGCTGCAACCGACTGTTAACAGATTGTTCTAATAGGACGGACTCAATTTCCTGGCTTCTTTGCAATGGCTTTGAGAGACGATTGGATACTACATTGAAACATAGTCTTTCTGAATAACCGTCAGCTCTAACGTACGTTAGCAATGTGCTTCAGTTCAAAGTGTATCCCTAAAGCAGATTCGCCCCACTTGGATTTGTTTCATACAGGCACAAAACTGTCAATATACTTACCACCAATAAAACTGGGCGCTCTTCATCTTCCCATTCAGTTGATCAAGTTCAAGTTAACTCACTGTTACTCGACAAGGACCAGTAGGAGAGACCATATCAACGCCATCAACTCGTCAGCAAGGTACAGAAATAAAATGGAAATTTGCGTTAAAACCGCGTCGTAAAAGCCGTTTCTCCAAGGTCACTGTGAGGATCGCGAGCTTCGGGTCTAGCAAAGCAACAGAATCAGATTAAATTTATGGGTTCCACGTGCCGGGCGTTGATAAAAAGTCAGATTACCTCTGAGTAGTGCACAAATTTTGAGTTAAAATCAACGTCTTTTGTCAGCTCCACAAAATTAGAAGTGTCACAAAGACTGCATTGACATTGGCGTTGCAGCACAATTTCCACAATCTCAACTAACCATTGGGCGAACGCACGATATCTGGAAGCACACATATCCAAAAACAAGATTTCTCGCGAAAGCTGGGCGGGCCGTAGACCCGTTGGAATGTTGTCTCATTCGTTGAGATAAGATCTTGGAGATTAAACCTCTATCCTTCAAGGGTTTCTGGCAGTTTGTTGGATGTTCTTCGATTTTCTGGGCCTGGTCATTTGCCTAATGCTTTTTTACTAAATTTTGAAGTACACTTAAGAGCTGCATCATATATCTTGTCCAGTAACGACGTTGCTCCTGTCCCTTCAGTGAATTTCATCGGCAATATAACGTCTTTCATTCTTACGGCTTATGTGCGCAGTGTATGGGGCCGACTGTGTGTGCACTGCTTTGATGAGATGCAATCGTGTCGGGTACGGCAACTGTTTCGACCATTTTGTCCACGTATTAACTTATTTCGATGCATCTCTCGGAGAATCCGACAGACACATCAGACTCTGTAAGCCTGGTTGTAAAGCCTATGAGATTTTTGCCTTGCTGCACTCGCTTGAATGTTTCCAAAGTTTCAAAGGAAACAGGATGACCATCGTTGATGTTTCTGGAGGCTTGACTTATTCTGGCAGTCGTCCGATTTCTGCTCTATTAAAAAAAAAACAGAAACTTCTTGGCACCGTTTTCAATTTTCACTCTCCCCGCGAAAGTGTTTTACACAAATGATGTCTTATATCTTCCGGTCGTTCTACAAACAAGTGTACTTTGACTGCCATTCAACTACCTTCATTCGATCTTGCAGAATTTTGCACAATTTGGCCGTCTGGCAATTCATATGGACCACCAGACATCTTATGCCCACTGAGGTCGACCGTTTACAGAAAGAGTATATGGAAGCAGAGACAGGTGAGTTGTGAACCAAAATATCTACGGTATTTATTTCAGTCTATCATTCAAGCCAATTTGTGTGTGAACTGCATATGTTCCAGATTACATTTTCGTTTCACGGTGCAGACATTTTCGTGAGAACATAGATCTTGGTGAATTAGATCTTGTCCATGCTTTTTTCACTCAACACAGTGAACTGTGATCTGTTGAGTGTGACCTTGTCGGAAGACATTAAGGTGGACTAATTAAATCTGGTTATGCAAGTATTTATAGTACAATCAGTGCGCTTGATATCACTCAAAACTGAAATCAGTTTCTGTGCTCAGACAGCATTACCGTTCACTGTTCAAGATAACCAAGGCAATTCTCCCGAAGAGATGCCACCCCACCCCAGTGACCAGAACAACGTTCTCCTCAGTTACCAGGAATGTGGACGTCTAAAATTCCCTTGCCTTGTGGTTTCAATGAATCGATCGTAGTTGTGTTAGAAATATATTCATTTACCGTTTACACTCGTTTTTCAGCATTTTGCTGCTACCAACCTAATCAATAAGTCGGATCCCCTAAATGAATACCAAACGTTTATCTACAGTATAACTGGTAGAAAATTTCCCATCCCATTCCCAATCGAAGATGGACCACTGATGGAAACAAAGGTGGTGGATCAATCATGTGAGAGACCATTCCGAAAAAAAAACAGGGTACTTAGTCTATGGCAAACCAGAAACGCTGTTGTAGCCTAGCCGTTAAAGGAAGTACTCCAAGTTTCTCGGAACTACGGAACATTATTACAATTTGTACGGTGGATTTTTGCTACAATTCTCTACAGTCTCCGGGTAAATCAAGTGGTTTTTTCAAATTTGTTGGAGCGGATGACTGAAGACATCTCCCAACGCTGGCAATTTTTACTTGAAGAAATGCTAGTTATCGTCCTCGGTTGTTCCTTTTTGATAGAACTTGTTGTATACTTACTGTTCGTAATGTCCGCCCATGTAGGTCTAAACAACTATCCAGAACGTTGGTTGACGTGTGTGGCGGAAACGCAAGAGGCTTTTGGCTGGATACTTGGCTATCTGTTTGCAAATGAGAAATTTGACCAAAAGAGTAACGATGCGGTAAGTGTGTCTGTTTTTTGATACGTCTGGCATCTTTCTACCACCGTTTTACACGACAACAACCAATTGAATTGCGAAATGACTTCAACAGAATCACGTGAGTGATAATCTGTGGTGTTTCATCCACAGCGTGGGCAACCAGTTCCAAAGGGGTGAAGAACATACCAGAGGACGAATGGCATTTTCAACCAATGAGTCTTCCTACGAGAAAAGTTACACCTAAATAGAAATTGCGTTCATTGTACCGAGGCCTATAACAGCTTTGAGTGCACCCGTAAAACTCGCCTGTGTGCAGTCTTTCTGTTCTACTCATGTAGATTACGTCAAAGCCTGAGTGAGCAAGATCGTGTCCACCAGAAAGGTAACACTGTCCGAATTCGCCCAAATAGACGCTAGCTGTTCACAGGACAAGACCAGGCGACTTGAGTATTGTTTTAATGAACCAATTGTGTTCCCACGAACGCACGCACACTAGAATATACTGATTATGCTAGACGAAATGGTCTAGGTATTTTACCAAGGTTGACTCACTGGTTCAAAGGTGTATATTACTGATGGAACATGCGAGTAGCGTCTGGTCAGGTGTTAAAGCACCGTCCCCCATCTGACAGAAGCTAAAGGCTAGTATGGAAATTATGGAACCGCTTTGCGGTTTTTGTTCACTATCATTGAAGATTTAAAGGACTGCTGGGAAATTTCAAGAGGAAGCTTGAGAATGTTGACGTCTCAAAAGCGCCATGACTATCATTGAGATTTAAAGGACTGCTGGGAAATTTCAAGAGGAAGCTTGAGAATGTTGACGTCTCAAAAGCGCCATGCAGATTAGAAATTTACTTTCGTGGCCAATGGCTTGTAACCGCTTAGTCCGTGTCCACTACTAAGCAATCCTGCACTCAAATGCACTTGTTCTCTCACTGATATCGCGACCACATGCGGTTCGGTCGCTGTCTAGTCACCCCAGTGATCGGCTGGATAGGGTGAACAACCAAGGTTCGGTTCCGTACGGACATCCTCAAATTAGCTGCCATGTCCGCTCTAACTAACTGGTGCACCTGAAGATTGAAGTATCAAGACGCAAAAGTAGCATCGTTTAATTTTTTGAAAAACCGTCTGGGTTGAAGACAATTCACTGCACCAGTTGGCGACAAAAATGATGATGAATGGAGCAGTCACTGAAAGCTGTACGGGGAAGACTTTCTGCAATGCTGTTTTGTGGCGTTGTTTCCATGCGGTTTAGGTTCCATTTGGAGAGTTATTGTTGATTACCCAGCGGTCGTGATCTAGAGGACCCACATAACCAATTACTGTGCTTCTCTCGTTTGACTAAGCTAGAAAGCTTAAAAATCGATGTTAACTATGTGTGTTACGAACCCCGCGCACCTGTTTGTGTGTGCCGTTTGCCAATAGTGTACGCGACTGAATCTTGTTTACTTGCCTAATTGAGCGATTTATTGATGACGCCGAGAGTCCTTGTTGTTACAGTAACCAAGCTACATCAGTCCCTCCACCTACTGACTGCCGCCGTAACGACTTTAACATAACCATGTGGCTGTGAACGACAGTGGCAAATATCAAGGCCATTCGCCCTCCGTGATGTGACCTCTCGTCTAATGAAACCAGATCCAGTTCGTTTTTTTTTCGCAATAAACAGCCCTTGAAACAGACTAAAACAGCCTCCACCAAAACTGGTCTACTCTGTGTGGCAAGCTTCTTCGGGATGGTTGATCAATGTAAAATTGTTCCGTTTTGAGCAGCGAACACCCCAGATGGTAGTGTTTTGTTTCCTGTCCACTTTTGCTCACTTTGCTGCACGACCAGTGTCCATAATTGCAGCCGTTGTCTAGGATATGACAAAACAGCCCTCATTTCCAACTGTACCTGGAGTTTGATGTGGACCCTAGGAAATTGATATTTCTGTGAATATTTACCTAGGACAAACAGTATTCTGCCACTCTAACTTTTTCACTAGTGTTAGAAATTTATTGTCCAAACACCATTTGAGGCCACTGTTTTCACCTATTCAGCAAACCTTCTGAGAAGCGAAGACACCGGCGACATCAGGGTGACTTCTTCGATGGGGAAGTTGTGTTCCTCTCAAGAATTTTCTCCTGAAGGCATCTTGTTCTGACGATGACGCGTCTTTAAATGATTCCACGCCCTGCCTCCAAGTAGCTTCACCCTTGACAGTTCAGGCTACAAGCTCGCTCTATTCTTCCATAAGTCACAGCTCCCTACTTAGTGAGTACGTCGGAATTATGATGGATTGATTTACTAGCTGCTTCAGTACATGGTAGGCTGTTTGCCTGATTAGTAGATTGGTTGAGTGATAGACTGACTGACTGGTTGAGTGATTATTTCATTGACTGACTGACTGGTTGATTGACTGATGGATTGATTGATTGATTGACTGATGGATGGATGGATGGATGGATGGATGGATGGATGGATGGATGGATGGATGGATGGATGGATGGATGGATGGATGGATGGATGGATGGATGGATGGATGGATGGATGGATGGATGGATGGATGGATGGATGGATGGATGGATGGATGGATGGATGGATGGATGGATGGATGGATTGATTGATTGATCCGATCGATCGTCGATCAACTGTTCGAGTGACTGATTGATTGACTAACTGACTGACTGATCAGCAAACTAACTGAGTGACCGGTCTGTTGGCTGACAGTTTATTCTTTTGGCTATTGTGTTGACCGATTCTTGGATTCTTTGGTGCCTGTATAAGTTCGTTCGTCTGACACCTGAGGCTGCCCTCAATAAAACCTCGTGTTATTGGCTTCTGCGTAAAAGACATCTCTGATCCGTCTTGTGAAAGGATCTGTTCAGAAGGGGACACCTGTAGTTTACGCTCATCAATAAAACATTGATCCAATTATCAACTGAAGATTTCTGAGTGACGGCATGTATGGCGTTATTGTGACTTTCCCCTGTTCCCCTTTACAGGCAGCCGAAATGATACACGAAATACGCGAGGCTTTTAAAGAAAACTTTGCTAGTGTTCATTGGATGCAAGAAGAAGACAAGATCAAAGCTATTGAGAAGGTTGATGCAATGAAAGCTTCGGTTGGCTATCCAATGTATCTCAACCAGACTGCTGAGGAAATACGGCTCCTATCGTATATGGTGAGATGACTCGTGTTACCCCGTGATTGGTCAGATCAAAAACACTGGTGAAACTTGGTTGGTTCCAGAATGGTATTTGTACAACACTCGACATTTCTAACGTTTAACCAAGTGTGTCAGTGAGACTGGAATGCTCACTTACCCTTTTGGTATATATATATATATATATATTACGCACGAATTTCATTTGAGGAGGAAAACTTCATGTGCTTAACAAATATTCTACAACAATACATTTCTCTTTTGTTTGCTTATCGAAAGTAGTTTATCAGAAAAGTGAAACTAGCATTGTGACTGTGACTTTCAGTGTTTGACCATCGATGTCTTCCGGTGTTCCCACCAGATTCGAGCAATTCTGAAGTACGTCGAATGGTATTCGGGAGAAATAACTCACCCTCGATAGATGAACTGATCGCACTGCATAGGTTGCGCTGGCTTGGCCACGTGCCGCGTGTGCCAGTTGACCGACTTCCTCGAAGGGCTCTCTTCGCACAACCACGTGCAGGGTGGAAGAGAGCCAGAGGCGGTCAAACAATGACTTGGCAGAGAAGTATGGAAGCCATTACCAGCAAACTCAGCTGCTCTCGTCACTGCCGTCTTCCTGGATGGGGACCCCGAGACAGGCCACATCAATGGCTAGAGACATGGTCAGACATGGCCCAGTCGTGCCTTCAAGGGCGCATCAGAGCTATTGCCTTCAGTGCATAGCTCCTTTTCCACCCCCCTCCCCACACTTGACAGCCCACTGGCAGTGCTGGATTTATGCAACAATTCATCAGCTCCCGCCTGCAATGCGCAGCTACCTACCCCCAATCATTGGTGAACAAAACTGCGGCAGCTATAAACACTGTACGGCGAGTAAGCGGTTATTACAGCTGACAATGATGGTGATGATGATGATGATGACTGTGGCTGCCGTCTGGTTGCAATGGCTTAAAATGGACACGGAATATTTCTGTTTGGTCATGGTTATCCCCAGTTATATTTGTAGCAACGAAATGTGAGAAATCATACTTGCGATGTCAGCGTGGAGGTGCCTTGAAATTGTAGCCGAGATTTCGTAATCCAAGTGAAGTCATTCTGTGCTAAAACGCCGAGAACCACTGTACAGCTGTACCATCCCAGTTTCGTGCAGCCCACAAGCCTGTGGGAAGCTTCGAATCAGCAATCTCTCGACTAGTAGTACCGTTTCGTCACCAGTAGCGGATCAGCAAATGATTTAGTCGCACTTGGACGGGATAGAGCGTCACTCATCCTTTACTGACGGAAGCCATACCACGTGATCACGTGATTGGCTGGTTTCTTTAATGACTATTTCTCAGACGGAACATTCATGTAACTTGTGAGATGCTCTTCATTCTAAGCAGATCACTCGTTGGTTGACGGTAATATGAGGAGATACCATATGTTTACGAAAGCCTCACTTCATCCCTTTGTTGAATTTTTTCTCAAGAACAATTGGATGCATAGTGAGTGAACAACGATGGATAACAGTAAAACTTTTGGGTCACTAAACCAAAGAAGTTGTCTCCGTACTGTGGAGGAAACTAACGAGACTGTGCCTCCGAATTTTTCTGATTGCTTTACTATCCGGTAAAGCTATCAGGATGACTAGAGTGGTGTTTTTAGTAATCTGATATGAACTGAACAGTGTTAGCGACTAAATATCACGGTTAGACATAAAAACAGTGTTCCGTTATCTGACTACTTCTATGGAGGAAAATGTTGGTAGCTCAGGTAGCGTAGATGGTCGTTGGCTTGTTTGCTGCAGCTGCAGTCAAATCGCCTAGCTCAGCGAACAACCCAACAACTGACTACTTTTGTTCATTCTGAGTAAAGTGATTGGTTCATCGGCTCTACTGAGCACTTATTCAACAACAGTAACCACCGTTTTCCATCTGTACACTTAAATACCGTGTTGACTACGCCACATCAACTGTCTAGAGCTTCATGCTAGCGTTAAGAAATGGATAAGGAACTCTTGTATTTTCATCAAATTCATAGATTGTGAAAGCTAACTTATCCCATCGCGTTCTGAATCCAAACTTTTTCCAGTAACTTATTTTTCGTGCACGCTCGTGACCATAAGCCACGACCATTTTTCTTACTTCAGACGAATATAACGGAGTCAACCTATTTTGAAAACGCACTACGAGCACGCGCAGCTCTCATTCTAGATCACCTCAATGATCTGATTACAGAAGATATAGATCGGTGAGTTACGAAACCCATATTTTTTTACTTGCAAAAGCGTGTAATTCCACCCAAGCAGTTTTCCCAAGGGACTGAACATATCTCCTGGATGGTCGTTGGCTTGTTCGCTGAGCTGGGCAATTTGGTTGCAAACGTTTCATCACCAATCGAGGTGACATCATCAGCGCGTAGTTTTGCGTAGCGGTGGGTTAGTGGCATAACCACTAACCCACCGCTACGCACTGATGATGTCACCCCGATTGGTGATGAAACGTTTGCAACCAAATTGCTCAGCTCAGCGAACAAGCCAACGACCATCTACGCTACCTGAGCTACCGACATTCTCCTCTATACAAAATATCTCCTGGATATTTAAATCAGCTCACACACTTTTGTGAGGGTTACACAAGAATTTCCAGCAACAACCTGACGCTTCTCATTGACCTTTCTGACCTCATTTTCACTGGTACATGAAAGGCGTCCAAGTTGCATTCATCTGAGACGTAGTCATTTGGTTTTGCCAAAATATATTGACCTTTTGAGGAGGAGGAGGAGCAGGGGGAGGTTTCAGTAATATACCTCCGTTCGCGCAAATTTGATCACGTAGCATGTAAAATATCCTTTTTGTTGGTTGACCTTTTGGGAGGAGGGGGAGGGTTCAGTAATATACCTCCGTTCGCGCAAATTTGATCACGTAGCATGTAAAATATCCTTTTTGTTGGTGCGATCCGGAATTTCTGTACAACGCTTGAGCTGAGTAGATCGTGACTGCCCGTGAGAGGACGGCAGATAAGAGAAGGAGTGATTGATAGCCCCTGAGTAAAATAGTTGCCCAGTGTTCACCTGAGGTTATAACCAGATCGAATTTCGTGGTATATGTATACATTTATATCAACCGCTTTCAGAAATTTCAGGATTTAGTAGGTGTCGTTTGCCATAAATTATTTATTTACTTATAATTTGCCTGTTTGTCTACTTTTATTTATTTGTTTTCAACACCGACTGTCAATTAACGAGTGCAGCACAAATAGGAATCGGTGTTACCTCAGGAGAGCACATATGTCAGCGCAGTGATGCGAATCGAGACCTTTGTTATCAAAAATCACCAGATGCAATAAACAAAAGAATCTGTGAAACGTAACCAACGAAACTTGGTTGAATGCGAGGGGCTGTAAACTTTTTCAATTTTATGGCAGGATTTCCCACAGCCGGGCCACACCAAACAACCTTTGTTGACACACACAAATCTGCTGACTTCGCAGGGGCGAGTTGCGACATATCCGGCATAGGAAACGAGGAATCCCTTTGAATTAAAAAAACACGCACTCCGGCCGTAGACGAAAATGTGACAAAGCGAATAAGTGAAGCGCCAAAAATAACCCACCTAAATAACACCAGTTTGCATCAAGCAGGAAAGCTCAATCAGTTGGTACTAAATCCGAATGTACTTGGTGATTTCACAGTAACTTTAAGTAAAGTTCGATTATTAGGTTTACTATGTTTGAAATTCGTTTTCTCTCCTAAAAACAAGCTAGTTTGAGATGTTGAGTAAGCTATTTAAATCGCCCTGGTGCAAAACTATGTACTTGTTCAGACGTACATTGATAGAATGATGGTAACTGTTGCATCTTACATCAGTCCGAACCCCGGCGCGTACAAAGGTATACAGTAATAATGAGCTCTACTAAGAGTGAAACTAGACTTCAGTGCTTCCTTATTTTGCATGGACCAACCAAAATCATCATCTTGAAACTGGAAGAGAACAAGAGTGATGTAAATACGAAACAAACTTTACCTACGCTGATCAACTCGGAAGCGCTGAATAGCTGCTTGGTTCTAGGGTGATATTACCAACAGCGTGGATCTTCAAGGAGATTCAGTCCTGATAGAAACTTGAACAATATCATTCGGCAAGCGGATGACGGATAACTCACCCGTCAGCTTTCCACCTTACAGCTCAAACCAGGCCACTTGAAGAAAAAGGCGATCTCGGAGAGAATCCCGCATGATTTGTGGGACGCGTTCGTTCTGGTTAGAATCACATGCGGCATGACTGAATTTATATCAGCAAACTCCTTGACACTGACAAGAACAGGAAGGTATCTGAACTTGAAAATAAGGGCTTAGTAGCATTTTCCAGATACAGCTGTCAACAATTATGTTAGACTGAGATCCCAACTTCTTGCGATGCCAAACTTTGCTGTCCTGTCCCTCTGCAGTGATCCTCATTCTAGTGTCACATGGGTCTTTCAATCAGTCAAATCTTTCAACATGAAGCTAGAATTAAGGGTTCTAGTAGCCCACCGTAGTTCTGAGGTTCAACGAGATAACGCATTTAATTGAATGTAAACTACTCACCCACAATTTCGCAGCCATGTCAGTTATCCTGCTTGAAGTAAACAAAAACCCGCTGTAGTGGACAGTCTCAGTGCTGTTGATTACAAATTATAGCTATAAATGGCACCTAAAAGATCACATAATCTCTGTTTGGGCAGCTCAGTCAGTGAAGCTTTTATCAGTCGTTCATGCCATTGCTGCTGAATGAACCTGATTGGGGCATCACTGGGTAATCGCTGGAACTCATGTCCTGCTGTCAGAAAAGCCCATCTTCTGCGAGGCAAGCACTGTAGTTGTATTGGCCACCAACACTGTAGCTAGGGTTGTTCCTGCATCCTAACCTGCTCACTGTGTTTTATCGGTCAGTAAGATAACGTTTGCAAAGGTTGCTTGATTAATCCCGAGACGTTTTTTCAGTTTGAAACCTAATTTGTCTCAGTATTTCCCATACTGCTGGCGCCTTAAACTGTATATTAAAAACTCTTATTGAACTCATATCGATACTTCTACGAAGGGGCTGTCAAAAAAGCCCAGACGATGCGAATCTTGGTTACGTTACAGCTGGAGAGACATCATCTTGCTAATTTGACCCCTAAGAAAACATCTTCTGGGTACCAAAATATATCTTGCTAGTGAGATTGGTGTGCCGCTTTTAAAAATATTCTCGTTTTGAACGACTGTTTTCAGTGTACTTAAGAATTCCGAGCTTTTTTTGAAAGAAACGCACCGGATATTTAATACAATTAGGTATACGGTGCTGAGACGTTTGATGAACCTGTGTAGTGCTCGTCAGCACCTCGCCACCTAGCCGAACTGAAATGGCAATCACAAGGTTACACCTCACTATCCACACAAAAGCGATGCCTATTAGTAACTCGATGAATATTACGTGTTGTTTCCATTCGTAGCGTATGCGCATTTTTAACTGACTTGTCAACCAGGACAAGTCAACTTCACTCAAATCGGTCTGCCTAGGTTGGATGCAGTGTGCCATCAGCGATTTCGATATCAATCATTCAGGTGGTGCCCAGAAAGTAAATAATTAAGTCTCCGACATGACTCTTTTTCGTTCGGATGTTTCCAATTAGGAGGGGGTGAATATGGATCCGAAGTGTTTCCTATCCAGCGGTGTCAACTAATTTCTTAAGGTTGACTCGCAGCATAAAAAACAACTGCATGCTACTGAACTGGTTCCTTCCGTGGGTCATTTCATGCTGGACAGAATGCTGGGACGCCACCTTCGTTAACCAAGCATTTGACAAAGGTACAAATGATCATAGCCCATCGGATGACAGCAGCGATGTGCAGCAAAAATGGGCTGTAAATGAAAGGCCATTAAGGAGCGAATAGTCTAAGTTATGCTCATTATCTCTTGTTTTACGCAGGGGCAGTCAATAGAGTTTTGTTCCCAGCAATGACCTTCTGTACTCAAGGTAAACGTATCCTCGGGTCCCGAAAAACTCCACCGCACGAGTGCTTCTCCTCTCAATCTTTTGTGATCTGAACACAATTTGAACATCCGGTAATATTCTCAGCCCACATCAGGTCCTTCGTGATGATCGATGGCTGAGCATTCTTAACACTCATCAGTATTGGTGATGATGTGAGGAGGTTTGATTTCTATGGTCGCTATTCATCAGTAGCTAGAAGATTGTCTGATTGAGGCAACAGCTGCTAGAACAAGAATCATACCTAGTCACCAAGGAAAATGATTGGCAAACGCGCGGCTCGGGAAGGAACACTGCGAAACTGCAAACTAAAGGGTCAACTAGTTAATCCATATACGTCCACTTGACGAATCCCAATGAGGACAAAAATGTTGGCCTGGTTGAGCCTTCCAGTACATGACTGCACCTGTAGCTTAGACATTTGGTCAGATCCCAAACCGATGCGTTAATTTCAATCGTTTTTTGTGAAGACTGATGACTACTCAAACGAAAAATCCATCTGCAGATAGTTGAAAGCCTGAATAAATCTTTTGCATTTGTATAGACATAATGCGCTACTCAGAAGGTTCCTGAAAACTCTTCGAAAACTTCACGACCGGTTTTGCCCTTCCTGGGACTCATCAGGTGGGCACAGTCCTCCCCCTAGGTTCCGCCAACCTTATGTTGTACTTGAACCCATATTGTACGAAATTTAAAAAATGCACTAATCTGGATACCGATTTAGTTTTCACGGCAGACTCACCTGGAGCATCAATGGGTTCCAGGTAAGTGTGTATTTCGCTAACTTCATGTAATTTGGATTCAAGTAGAACATAAGGTTGACGTAAAATAGGGGGCCCGCCTACCTGATGAGCTCCAAGAAGGGCGAAACCGGTCATGGACTGATGAAGAGCTTTCACGCTTGCTTACCATTATGATCATCGGTACAGTCGGACAACACCACTACTAACGCGGTCAGAAAGTAGTTTATTGTTCACGTTCACATCACTATCACTTGAACAGCCTTGCTCCTCCTGTCCTGGTGAGTCCATTCCAAAGAAGGACCGCATTGGAGTCGAGTCTCGTTCTCATTACAGTCCATCATCAGTGGAGATATCGTTGGCTGGATATGAACTTCGGACACTTAAACATGCAAGACAAGTTTGATACTGCTGGTACTACTGCACTAGACGCGCCTGAATCATCACGTGTGGAAAGCCGGATGTGCTCACACCCGATATCTCTAACGACATCGCAGCAAATGTCCTGGTTGTATCGATACGTTGGTCCACCTGTCAGGAGATCCTAGTGAGGTAGCGCCACGGACGCTTGAAACCTGTCGAAGAATTTCTCTCTTGTTATCATAACCCACTGGTCCAGCGATGCCTCCTACCAATTGGGTAAGCCGATTCGGAACATTAAACAAAACACTTTTTCCCATTCTGACAACAAATCGAATTAAAGTAAGAACTTGTTCATTCGGAGACGGAAGGAGCATATAAGACCCTGAGTATCAAATCGCTTTTAAATATTTCGGGAGCACTGATATCTCTAGAAGTTGAATTCATTCCTAATGAGTCAGACTGACTCTCACTGAGGACACTGGATCATTCCAACGAAGAAGAGACCACAATACGGGTTTTGTGGCTTTAGATACAGTACAAAACAGGCCGACGAATGTCAAACGTCTAACTTTACAGAAGATAAGGTACCGTGGAGAAAGTTGCAATTTGTCCAGTCCTGGAGATGAAGTTCCTCCATTCAAGTCATGACTGTAGAGGACGATTTTGCGACCCGCTCATGGAAGTGGCTTTACATGATACAAAAGCCATAAATCCCAAAAATTTGTTAAACTTCACGCGCTTGGCAAATTGGTCATGATGGTAAAATGTGGTTCTTCTTCTGTTCATAGATGGGACCTCCAACCACATGTTGTGAACGCGTTTTACAAAGACAATGCGAACCACATTTATTTTCCGGCGGGAATTCTACAGCCACCAGTCTACGATCACGCACACCCATTGTCTCTGAACTTTGGTGGGATCGGTATGGTCGTTGGCCACGAGATCACGCACGCGTTTGACCATCAGGGTGAGTTAATTGTCCGAAAGAACATGATTCTCGTGTTTCTGTGGGACATGATAACATCTTCATGGACCACTTGTGTTGCCACAGTTCTTACCACTTGGTCACCAGTTTGATGGCGGATTTTGTTTAACATAGTGAAAACACCATTCAACCTTATCATGGAGCAACCGTTTTCTCATGAGTTCTCCTAACCTTTCTGAGGGCTCAAGACCCATCGACTATGCTCTAGTCTGCTGGCCTTCTTTTGAAATAATGGTTTAAATGTGATCATCTGCTTTCAGCTTTGCTCCAGCGACACAGAATGTGCAAAAGCTATGTTTGAGCAACCAGACAATCGTCGGTCTTCAGAATGAAACACTTTTATAAGCTCATCGTTTATATTTTTGATTGTTTGGTACGGGTAGTTACCGGATTGGTGGAAGTCACAGAACAGTCCATTTCCTGTCCTGGCACAGTTAATCTGAGTCCATGCCGTAGACGGGAAAGTGCTGAACTTGATTTTTGCTCATCAGCAGTGCCCTCTTTGGATCTGTCGGCTGACAAGCGAGAAGCGTGGTTACCACTACCCCACCACCGTAAGATGGAAGCCGTTGAATTATCAGGTCTGAACAAACGAATGGTCTCATATACGTCCAGTGGCGACGACCCAGCAACCGTCCTGGTCTACTCGATCGATTCCGCTGTCGGAACTTCCCAGTCTGGAAACGCCATGGAAGTTTGAACCCTGTTAAACTGTTCAAACCAAATTGACTTGAATGTGAACTCCGCAAGTCTCGCCAGTAGTTAAAACTAATCAAAAGAAATGTTCACAGAGTTCAAACCTTCTTGACAGTAAGCGAAATACTCTCATTTGCGGGCGACTCGCCTGGAACTCAGCTGAATCTCTCGTTTATGATGTTCATGAGCTGTTTTTCGACCCAAACGAGTAGGGCTTGCTTGGTTGTCAGCATATCTTTCCAGCACTAAGTAGCCACGAAATTTCCAAAGTCTATTCTAAATAGGTAGGTTTGCTTGTCCTTGGTCGAACACCCAAAAAAAGGAGAATAGGTTTGAACCTGAGGCCCAAATGGTTGGATCACGTAACCGTGGAATAGTATCCATCAGCTATACTAGTGAACGGAAGAATGCTTCGCTGTGGAGTTATTTATTAGGGAATGCCAACTGAAGAGTTACGTACTATTGGACAGGGAAGCAAAACTCTCATGTGCATCTTGTTTACAAAATCTGAATGTTCATCTTCTCCTCAAACGCGTGTTCCTGAACTTTCCAAACTTTCCAAACAAACGCTACAAAGTAACTCCACTAATTCCGTAACAAAAGGCGCAAAGAGGGTTTACGAGAAAACATACTACTCGCATGCCCTCCCATCAGTAGTATCACCGCTGCACTAGCAACGAGACAATGACATCCCTCTTATCTGTCGCGCTGGTTGGCCCAACGCTCTTCTCCTATAAAAGAAATGTCAAACATCCTGCTGCAGAAGGAGATGGTGGAAGCAAATTCATAAAGCGAAGTATAAGAGCACACACACAAGTAGTCAAGCTTGGTTTAGGGAACTAGCCGGTTCGTGACCCTCTCTCCCTAATGATTCCATCTGTGAAGCAATCCAAAATCGAACTGCCAATTCGGTCCCCAATAAAATCCACGTTTCTGTGTACTTGCCCCAAAATTTTGCATTCTCAATGACCGTAACGTCCTAGATTGTGTTGCGGACCTTGGTCGCCGTTTATCACTCAGACAGCAGAACTCATCAGAAAATCAGTTGTCTGTCAGAATGAGAACGACTCTTATCCGAAAGCAGAGCACAAAAACGTGGGGACGAAAACTGGACCGGAGCGCTTTAGTCTGAGAGTAGAACACGAAATTTGGTGCATCAGCTCCCTTAGACATATCAACATGACGACTGTTTTCCGACTGTTTCTACGGCGTTATAATGATGCCCGACTCAGTTGTCTTTCGAACATGAGATTCTTGGTGAATCACCTAGTCCCATTCTTTAGTAGGCAGTTCATACCGGATAGAACACTTTATTGGCTATTCCTCACCAACTGGCACTATATGTATGGAATTGTGATCATTCTCAAAAAATACACTCGCTTGCAAATCAATTTCACTTTCGCGAGAGGCTCAACTGAATCTCTCGTTTATGATATTCTACAACTAAATGTGCTGCACACAGGCCGCCTGATGATTCAGTTGGCACGATATTCGAGATATTACAGTATATTTTTAAAAAGGAAACTACTCACGAGGTTGCTGAAAACTCTTCGACGGCCCACGACCGGTTTTGTCCTTCTTGATTGGTTTGCAAAATGGTCCAATTTGGGTTCAAGTAGAACATAGGGTTGACGGAAACTCGGGGGCTGCGTCTACCTGATGAGCCCCAAGAAGAGCGAAAACGGTCGTGGACTGTCGAAGAGTTTTCAGCAACCTTGTGAGTAGTTTCCTTTGTCATCATTCTATTTCTTATCTGTCTATGGTACATCCTCTCTTCGTTCTTCGCCGGAACTCAACCGCAAACAATTACTCTAAGCCGATTCTGCAGTAGAATTTCGCATTCTAAGTGATCAAGACACCCACACTAAACTGTGGCTCCAGTTTCCTTTCCACACAATCCCTTCAGACCATCAAGCCGAATACCTTTCTTTTGGTACTTTCCTCACACAAGTCGTAGCCGTTCCAACCCGATGGCTGTCCTAACCTTGAATCTCTTCTGAGTACTCTGCTGCACTTTTGGTTCTCCATATCATCATTGTCCTAATAACATGTCCTGTTCGATTTCGCCGTTTTCCTCATTCTACCCCAAGGTTTGCGCTTTTTAGTTTACTGACTTATTTTGCCAGTTTCAAAGGAATTCACTCACTCTGCGATCCACATTTCTGCAGTAAACATTCCAATCTACCATCGCTCCCTTCATAAGAGCCCTACAGAACTAACGGTAAACAATCTGCTAGATACTTCCTGCTTTTTGGTTCACGTCTGAACGAAACCTTAGTGGACACATTCTATGGTAGGTCCCAAGAAGGTCAAGCGTTTTGGAATCCATCTGCATCTTTTCTACGAAACTTCATGCCAATGATTCGGTGGAACATGCTCCCCTTCCCTGGGGAATGATGAATGCAATCTGACGGCTCAACAGTGGTTTGACTGTACCTTCCATATGACAGGTCATCACTCACATAACCAGCCGACAAGTGATGACTTGAATGAAGAATATCCTGTTTTCGCTTGAGTTAATCACACACTGCTCAAATGTTCCACGCGGAAGGTCGCGGGTTTGAGATTCCCTGCTAGACTTTCATGAGATGCGAGCTGTTGCTACGAAGCAGCTGTACTGTGCTTTTCGGCTTTTCAGCATAGATTGGCTTCAATTACAGGACAAAATCTCGATTGTTCTGACAAGATTAATGGTTGTTAAAAGCAAATAACGTCTTTCCAAGTAACTTTTTTGTTTCAGAAGATATGACTGACGATAAGTTTCCTAATGGATTGGACCGCTGAAGGCTACTTCCTGGGTGGCATTGTACGAACACCACTGTCCAACTGTTTAACCAAAAAGAATAGATCCTGTGAAAGCATTTGGTTCGCGTAACTCCCGTTTTTTTTAAGAAGCATACTTATCAGCTGGCTTACACTGACATCTGTAGCTGTTTTGCTTACCCGCACCAGATTTCCAAAAAAAACACTAGTTTTTTTGCAGAGCCACGTCAGAAAACAAGACTGAATAATAATCAAGCCTCAGCATCCTGAGAGTCATTGTTTGTGCACAAAGACACCGATCCATTTTGCAGGGAACACACTTCTGCCGGACATAGGCTTAACTATTCCGGAAGTAGTTTCTCATTTGCATTGGTACTTCTCAAAAAAAATTGGCACATACTCTGTATGTGACAGTCCACTCAAAGAAACTCTCTCTCTCTCTCTCTCTGCGTGTACTTTTCCTTACATTTGAGTAACGAAGTAAAGCAATCACATTTTGAGGGACTCATTTTTGCCCAAATGTGTTCCGTTTCCGGTGTGATATTGTTCAGTTGGGGACGACCATCCTTTATCTCAAGATAAAGGCTTTGGGATTAGTCACGTGCAACCAACTTGTACAACATCTTACAACCGTTTTCATTTCCTTACACAGGTGCAAAAAGAGATGCGAAAGGAAACTACCGCCAATGGTGGAGCAACAAGACCCGTGAGGCTTTCAAAAGAAATTCGCAGTGCATGATTGATCAGTACAGCAATTACTCAATCCTCAACACAAGCGTAAGCGTCGGACAGTCCAGTTTAGGACTCATGCTATTATTTTCTCACCACTCTTCTCAGTTTACTACGCAGCAACGTCTTCTGACAAGTTTAACTGTGAATTCATACGACAAACCCTGTAGTAGACCCAGTTTATGAGAGCGTCTAGCTGGCACTTGGGACATTTTCAAAGATGATCCTACCACTAAGGCACTATTCTAATCTTGTAACAAATCTGATTTTTTACTTCATAAGCAAATAAGTCATCTTTAGAATGGATTTCCTCGGAAGTAGGCCCGGAAATCTCGCAATATTGAATCTCACCAGTCCCGAAATTGTATGGGGTCCTCATGGGAAACGACTTTCCCCAAAAGAGACTAGACGCAATTTTTCTACAGGATCGACCCCCCTAAATGACTACTGTATGCGTCCACAACTTTGTAAACAGACCCCTGGGGATTATCGTACGATATGTCAATAGGTTTAAACTTCCGTTTTTTTGGCCTATAACCTTCAATCACCCATAAACTTACTCGCCTTTCATGCAACACCTCCCCCCTCTATTAATTACAGCTGAACGGGAAAATGACGCTAGGTGAGAATATTGCAGACAACGGAGGCATCAAAGCTGCGTATCGGGTGAGTTATTCGTGCATGTCAAATGGTACCGGAAGCCCAAATAGCACTTTTAAGCTGTCAGTGTACTGCAAGCTCCCTTGGAGTAGGCAATATCTAAAATGCTCTAGTTCTACCGCTTTAACCTACAAAGAGAGCCCGCGCCTGGCTTATTCGTACTCCTGACTCTTTTCAGAAAGAAGAGTTCTTAAAAAGAAGCTGATCTCTAACAGCAATATAGAGGAAGTTACCAACTTACACGACAAGTTACGACGTAATGCGGAAGCCTGAGTGCTCAGTAAAAAAAGGAGCTTTTATCAACTAACCACAACAGTACGGCACAAATTACATGTTACCCAGCCTTTACTAATCCTGCTCTCATCAACGAGAGAAGTCAATCTCCAATGGCGTATTGTACCCGATCTCTCTGCTTCAGTTTGCATGCAGTTGCGGTGAAACATACATTGATAGAACAGACAGGATCATATTTGAACGTGTCTCTGAACACTACCCTCGTTATTTGGTGACCTGAAATCCTACCTCATCGATTTACCAAACACACTCTGTCCATTGGACATAGACCTGACCCCCCAACACATCGTTTAGAATTTCACTGCGCAAAGTCAACTCGGAATTGTGAGTTTCTAGGGGGGGGTCCAATTTATGCTCACAGAAATAGGTTAGTAGTAAGCGGACACCTTCAATGATTCTATTGCGATTTTCAAAACTAGTTTCCCTGGTGAAAATTATCGAGTAGCTCTGTTTTATCAGGCTCAACAAATTCAAGCTACCCAAAAAATGAATTGGCTATATAATGCACACCCATTACTTTGGCCTGCCTCACAGACCCATAACTTATGTTCCTAAGTGTACGATATTTAATAAGCCGGTTCGCATCCCCAATCCTAGCTTGATGGTGAAGATATCAGGAAGAGGATTATTCATCCCAATGCGCATTTAGTACTAGTATGAGCACAAACTGAAGTTACTATTTTTGACAGTTTGATTATTAGCATATTCCGTTTCATCTTACCCGGGGGCTGTTTCATTCTTCAACCAGAAATCTACATCTGCTGGTAAATTAGTTTGGTTTTTGGGTGTGACTCTTGACTAATTCGAACAATGGCCTGGTCACTCGTCAGTAGATATAAAGTTTTATCTGATTAGTCATGATCTCCCGGTAGATACTCTCGAGGATCCTTGGTGGGAGTTGTCTTTTTCCTCAAGAACTAAGAGTGAAATTTTCATCCGACACTGAACGGCAACACGCTTTCGTGGTTACTTATATTTCGGGTTGGGAAAATATGCCATGACCTTGAAAGTTTGCATACACACGTCATGCATGCACAGAAAATGTATACGCCCTCATCTGTTTGTTGAGTCTCCGTCTAATCCTGTTCACTTCTTCACTGAGTGTATTATTTATTTACTAATATTTTATTATTTATTTTAGGCGTTCAAAAAGCTGGAGTCCAAATACTCGGATGGAACTGTGCTACCTGCTCTGGATTTCACATCGGACCAATTATTTTTCCTCGCATTTGCCCAGGTGAGACACAGATCACCTTTAGATTTTTCGTGTGACAGATAGTGAAAATCTAACTGGTAGTTGATATTTGCAATCAGACAGACTTGAATTTGAGCTCATTGTCTTATCGTCTACAGGTGACGGACATAAGGTAACCACTAAATCGCCTAAACAAACCGTGACCTATTCTGAACACTCAAAAGTGTACATCAGTAAAACACACATAGAAGCGGGTTTCATTTTCCCACAGTGATTTGAACACATATCTGATCAGTAAATTCTCCTTTTGACTTATTTCTTGAAGGTCTACTGGAACCATGTCTTTGTCTGAAAACTTTCCGATTCTCCGATAAAATCAGGAAATTCAAATTCGGCCTTAAACTAATCTAAAATAAACCGAGGTTAAATTTTTATAACCGCTTCTCAATAGGTAAGAAGTGCAGAAAGAAGGCACCTCTCCGTTTTGCGGAAAACACTCGGGCACTCCCGTTTACCTTGTTCAGGAAGCCGATCCGGACACTGTGCCAACCGGAATTTTGTCGATCAATCTTTGGGCGCACTGCATGGTTAGCTGGTTGATGACTGACTTCCATGTCTGTCCTCATCCGCGAGACTGTTACAATACGGTCGAAATTCACTCGCTTGATTTAAGTCTGAGCAAGCTGAGATGCGTTGTTTCGGGACACGGCTTCATCATTAGTCGCTCCCTGGTGTTTGAATGTGTGCTAAGCACGTGAACCCCGTGATACATCTTTAAATTCGTGTGATAAGTCCAATAAGTGTTTGTCAGGTGCATCCAGATTCAGTGTTGCCACCTCTCTAATACCGTGAAATCCCATAAAAATGCAAGTGGTACCTCATACACCTTTTGCCGGTTTCTACCCCAGTCTCTCTCTCTGTCAGTAGGCACAACCTCTCCTGTCAGAGAATGTGCACAATCCGCATATCTGTTGCGTAACTTCTGCTTGTGCTCAAAACGGAACAAGATGCTCTTCATGTTTCAGTCTAACAACACCAAAGCAGTTTTCTTAAGAAGGCAGTACTTATAAGGTTGACAAACACTCTCCGACAGCACACTACCGATCTCGCTCTTCTTTATCATCATCAGATGGTCGTGATCCCGCCAACTGCTTAAGTAGCAAGTTGTGCGCCGGTGGCTAAATACATACATTTGCAAATTAAGGCGCTGTTAACAAGAGAGTCATGTGACTCTCTCGTTTATGCTATTCTTCAACTGAGTGTATTGTACACGGGCCTCAACAAGGACGAAACACAAAGGATTCTCATCAACCCAATCAGTAACCATATTTCAAGAAGAACAAGATGCGAGTTTGTCGCAATTATCTACTTAGAAACATTCGCAACCATCGTCATGTATCAAGCTATGTCTGATTATAGTGTAATACAAAGAGTACAACAATCCTCATAAAAGGCCCCTCTCAAAGTACACCATCCCTAGGGTGTGAACTAACAATAGATCGTGCACTGTTGTGGATGCCCTTGGGAAATAGCCTTTCCTCGAACGGGTCTCGGAAGATGTTAAGATTCCGCCGCATGTTTGGACGCCAAAAATACTTATAGCGGGTTTTTTTTTTGGCACACAAATCAAGTAATGTGACTGATAGAACCTTATTCTTCCCGCTGTGTGCTTAGTAGTTTAACATTCAAGTGACCTCAACTTATTCGATAAATCAGTAAGTACTCTGTAAGAGCGAAAAATGTATATAAAAAACGTCAGTTTCCAGTTGATACAATTCACCTGCAACGCAGAGTCGAAATAACTTTGCACAGTTTGTGGGGTCAACACACAAATTAAGCTAAATGGGGCAGGTGATCCATCAACCCATGTCCTCATTCAATCATGGCCTTACATCCCAGGGTGATGGTGAACATGACCGAAGCTCCCACCAGCCACTGTCCGGAACATCCATACAATGCAACTCTCCGTCTTCGAAACACAGCCGCCATCCTTTTCGAACAGCCTTCCAAACATGTATATCTTTGTAATGTACTACTCATAAGGTTGCTGAAAATCCGTCGACATCCCACAACCGGTTTCGCCCTTTTTAGGGCCCATCAAGTAGGCGCAGTCCCCGGATTTCCGTCAACCTTATGTTCTACTTGGAACCAAATTGTACGAAAATAGCGAATATACATTCATTTGCAAACTAATTTGGTTTTTCGAGAGACACACCTGGAACCCAGCTGAATCTCTCGTTTGTAATGTTCCCAGGCAACTGAGCATTTGTTCTAATCTGTGGCTTGGTCTCTTTGCCAAAGCCAAAAGCTATTGTCGTTCCAGATAGAAATATGAATATCATTTTAAATCACTAGCTTGGAAGAACAAAACAAAACCTGAAAACAAGGTGTATCAAAGAAGATTCTATCCGGCATCACCGCCCTTACAAATAACAAGCGTCGTCTGGTTGTCATGACAATCCGACCAGCAAACAAAACCTTATTTATGTGGAGGCAGTTTATTGTGGTGGCTAACAGACAAAGAAGTCTGGACATACCGGATTATTGTCATGATAAACCGATAGGATAAAAACAATGTTCTTTTTCAATGACCACCTCAGAAAAAACGAACAAGCACGGTCGAATTAGAGCGACTGTCTTATGTCGGAGATTTAATAGCCTTGTGGCGTAATGCAGTGTCGCTTGAAATTGGTAATTGGACAGTATCCGTGACTCTCCAGGAGGCACCCCCCCCCCAGCGCAAGCGTCTAAATAAATCCAAGATTAAACTGA